CAATCGTAATATCCTTTAATTGTGTCTCCAGCGTAAAGCCAAAATAATGGCTGTCCACGCACGTCTGATATGACAGCGTCAGCATGGGCTGGCAACTGCAATAGATAGAAGATGAAGACACATTAACATTGTGAAATTCCATTGGGTTCTTATAATCGTCTTTACTTATATAAACAAAAATAAAAACCTTCAAATAATTATACTATGTACAACATAAATATGCGTATGGTCAAAAGTACTTTAAGGTAGGATTCAATTAAACAAGTTTTGTTATATTGATGCTTAAAATTTTTATAAACAAACAACTTCAACCATAAAATAAATACACATTAATACCTACAGGCTTATAATAATATATATATGTATTTTTATACACACATATATATCATTAGGTTAGGAATTAACTCATACATATAAATTCAAGCGCCAAATTATCTTCAGCAATTGAAACCAAAAGCAGACTTTAAACAGGAATGAGTAATACGTATACAAATAAAGTAGAGCATGTCAACTGATAACACAAAATAAGAGAAATTATATATACAAATATGTATGGTTACATATGTCTGCATGTTTGTGTAAGTATGTATGTGTGTGAGTATGTATGTATGTGTATCTGCATTCATGTGTATTCTATTTTACCAAACAGACGATCAATATAGAAAGTTATTCTATTAATTACAAGAATAATGTTGTCAGCTTAGATGCCAAATTGATTGAGTTGATATGCGTGTGTGGACTTATGAATGCATGTTTGTATGTAAGTGTGTGTGAATGTGTGTGTATGTATGTGCGTATATATGTATGTATGTATGCATGCAAATTGTCTTCTATACCAATAGAAGAGCAACTTGTCTTGTTGCGCGGAAAATTGAAGTAAGGAAACGTATTTATTAACGCCGCCCTCCTCCTCGATTCTCAAAAATGTAAGTTAGGCCTGCAAACTTCGCCTATAAATTAGTCGCAGGAGGCTTCAACGCTGGAAGCTGAGGAGCCGGAGGAGCATCGCGGAGGACCAGGAGGAGGACCACTAAGGGGGCGGAGCAGGAGGCGTATGTATGTATGTACGTATGTATGTATGCATGAATGTATGTATGTATATATGTATGTATGTATGTATGCATGTATGTACGTATGTATGTATGCATGTATGTATGTATGTATGTATGTATGTATGTATGCATGTATGTATGTATGTATGTACGTATGTATGTATGTATATGCATATGTTCGCTTGTGTAATAACATATATACTTAAAAATGTATAATTTTCAGTTTATATACTAGACTTTTGGCTATAATAAAGCATACAATTATTAAGTTATATTTAATTAGTTGCACAAACAGATGTGCCTGCTGTACGCCTCCAACTGATATAAGCTCTAAGCATGCAGAATCTAGATTACATCTAGATCCGAATACGTTTCGTAGTGCATCCAGGCTTTCAAATCAAATCCAACTTATAAATCAAATAATAATATCGCTAATTTCTACTCCATCAGCTGACTTACTATCTTTATGGGAGCAATAAACTAAAGAGAAGATTACAGCACACATATGTTGTTCTTGTTCTATTTCTACTGTGGCACTTACTATTTTGTCATTTTCTGCAACGACTCAAAGTCCGACTCATCGCCATGGTATTCGATGTGTTCCTCGTACTTCTCAATGCTATCAAAATTACATTGACAAATGTAGCAACCCATCGAACTCAACTCAAAGTCCACAAAACGTTCTTGCTTTTGAGTCTTTTGGTATTTCAACGGTACCGGCTCTGCATTTTCATCCAGTACATATTCTGTAATAAACGAGCATATAGAAATGAATAACATAAACAAGAGTGTTCTAGTCGAAAGTGCCCAACTAGCTGCTACCCTGTACCCAGTTATTAGTTGTAAATGAGTCTTCAGTCTAATTTTATGGAGCTACAGCTAGACTATTATATAGCAGTAATTATATAGCTAAGTATCGATACTTATCGATCTAGTTGTAATATGCCTGGAGATTAACAGATTTACACAGCAAACGAACATGGTCGGCTTGTTGCTGATCAAGATTCAACTTTTTCGTATATGTTTTGCGTGGGTACAGGGTTTTCAGATGAAATGTTTGGAATGAAAATATTTACTTTGGGTAATCGGACTGTCCTGCGCAGAGTCCGTCACATTGCTGACAGCAGCAAGATCATTTTGCCTCTGCTTTTCGTCAATTGCATTATACTTCTCCCTGCGGAACTCCATCAGAGCTAGGCTCTTGATGCGGTAATTGGAGTCGCCGCGCGGTGTGTTCATCAAGAAGTTTGTACGCTGCAACAGCGAACCAATCTGTAAATAAAGAGAACCGCAATTGTATATAATTGTTATGAACTTGAATATGCATACATACGTAAGTCCATAGCGAATTTGTATTTCGAATTGTAATCGAGTGTGGTTTTATATGTATGTATTATATATACATAGTACGTGCTATCAGTCATTGTTTTATTCAAGTGTTTTCTTTGTTGTCACAAGTACATAATATAGATAAAGTCTTTAAAGACAAAGGAACTTACAGAACCCAAGAAAATAAAATATGAACTCGCAAAAAGGGGAATACCAGGTATTCGGCAGCTACTTATCGTATACAAATATACAAAAGGCTGGGCTGTGCTTCTTCCTTCCCTAGGGTTCAGTGACGAAAAATGCATTCTTATATAACTTACAAGTTTATTGTACGATTATTATGAAACTTTCAAGGCTTTAAGTTGGTTACTAAATGAGTTTATAACAAAAAGATTTGCTAAGACCTCTCAAAATTTTTAATTTTGTAAAAGGGACTAGAACAAGACTAGAAGTAGAACGGCGCAGCTCCTCAAATATACATATATACTATATGTTTAATAATACTGATAGCATATGCTATATTTAGATCTGTTTTTAATCTCCTCCTTAGTGGGCTTCCCTGTCAAACAATGCATTAGATAACCGGCTCAGGGCACACGCTTCAGAGTTTACCACAGCTGATCGCAAATCAGCAGCAGCAGCAACTACAACAATAACCCGGCTATAATCCAGCGCTTTAGTCTGGCAAAACCCAAGCAGCCGCAAACATATGACTAACCGATTTCATTCAGACTCCGACGGGTGGTAAAGAGTGCGAGCTGATAAAGCGCGGCACACTCTGAGAATTTATGATAGTCAAAATAAAGGGAAGCGAAATTGAGAGCGGTTTGGAAACAGAGAAAGCAACGGTTCTAGATTTATGCCCATAATATGACAAATGTCAAGTTGTGTGTACTTAAACACAGTGAACATACAGTACAGCGAACCTAATTTAAACAATGTGCAATGGATTAGATGTGATGAATGGTGATTTTTGTATAATCAACAAAAAAAAATTTGCGAAAATTCGTAAATTAACTTTGTTTTAGTGCTAAGCGCTACTTACATTATTAGCTCCATTGATGGAGAGCTTGATGCGCAGTTCTGCACTATTGGGCTCCCACGATAGATGCTGTTCAAATTCCCTGCGCAGCGTGCGCTTATCCACATACCAGCTGCTGCGGGCGCTGATCACTTGTTTTTCCGCCATTTTGAGCAAAAAGCAGCCAATCAGCTCACGTTCTAACGATATTTTTGGCTATTAATAGGTTTACAGTTGTTGGTAATGTTAAAAGCACTTACCCCATGGCCTTCGTTGCGGCATTCCATAGAAATCGGCATTGTTGCTGTTGGTGTTTTTGTTTAAATTTAAGACTGTTGTAGCGGGTGGCGTCGCTGGCGGCGTCAAAATTGAAGGTGGCATTGTTGCTGTATTTGTTACGATGTTTAATCTATTGGCAGGGATCGCCTTCTTTTGGCCATTGGCCTTTTTTTGGATTTTATTTTTTGTCATTGTAAATACGTACAAAAGGACAAAAATGCTTTGCACAGAACACACACACACGCGATCTATCACACGCACAGGCACACACACACACACACACACACGCGCGCAAACAAACAAATACACACACACAAACAATCACAGTAAGGGCAAAAAAAAATAAATGATCGCACTCTGGATTCTGGTTTCTAAACTGCAATTAAATAGTATATACTTTTTTATTTGAGTTGACAGCGCAACGCTCACACACACACAGACACACTACTATGCGCAAAATTTCGCGTATTTATTTATTGACAAGAGGAAAATCAACCTACGCGTCACAATGGTTAAACGGTTAATGACGACAACGACATATTGGCCGCTGTGCTAATATGCTAGAAATGCGCTTTGATATTGACCTGACAACTCTACGTCACAAGAGATCGACCGATGTGCTGATTCACTCACTCTTGGGAGAGAGCGTTGGGGTCGGCTGTGTACGTGTGCGTCTGTGTGTGTGAGATCGTTTTTGGGATGTGTGCGTGTGCTTCATGTAACGGTAAATAAAGCAATTTTTTGCAGCGTTGCCGTACAAAGGCACACGCAGCATGTATACGTACACATACATTTGTACGTATATATACTTACCACTGCGAATTTTTGTTTGCGATAAAAACATGCCACGCCTTCTTAAAATGTATTGTATGTATATATTTTTGTCTGTATTTTTTGGTATGTATTAAAATGTTGCGTATAACACGATTTAAAATAAAACTGAATTCAACTTGTTTGTGTGACTTAAAATGCGTTCTAGTTGTGAAATTACTTGGGGACACGTATACAATCTGTAGATAAATATGATTTGTGTGAATAAAGAGACGCGCCAAGAGCTTGCGAGTATAAAACGGGAAAGAACCGAACTTCGACTGAATTATTTTCGCTGTTGGTAGCACATAACTAGTTATCTGCGCGCTTGCCGTGTGACCACCTCTTGCGATTGTGATTAAACCAAGGTGTAGTATTTTTTGTATCATGGCTGGTCACATTGCGCAGCAATTGGAAATATGTATTTGGAGGGGCATTTTGAGTGTTTTGAGTTGTATTTATATTTTAACAAACTAATCTTACAGCACTAATAAAATATTTATAAGTAAAAACATTTATTTCTTAGCCAGCTTGAGCTTCTCGGACCCAAAAATAACGCCCGTGTCGACCAGCTTGCGCTTCATGGCAAACGGATTGACCGAATTAAGAGGCGTGCGCTGCTCTCCATCAGCTGCAGCTGCCTTGGAATCGCTTGGCTGTGACTCGGACTCGCCAAATAGGTTCTCCTGTGTGTCCAGCGGTGTGATGGTTTCTGGCGTGCCCGGGCGTGACGCTGCTGCCGCCTTAAATAGATTCGGCGTGTTGGAGAAACGTTTTAGTGCGCCGCGCTTGGAGGCGCTTAGCTCCATGGCCTTGGGCGCCAGCTTTGGTGTCACAGCCTGCGTTGGCGCCATGGGCAGCACAATTGTTGCTGCGATACCATTGGCGCCCAGCAGCTGCTGCTGCTTGCGCGCCTCCTGCACCGCTTCCAATTGCGGCAGCAACTCACACAATCTATCCGAGAGATGAATGCGACCGCGCTTGGAGGCGTATTTAACAGCCAGCTGGAGTAGCTCAGTGCAGGCAATGGACTCAATTAGTTCGCGTGCGCGCGTCTCACATTCATTGCTGCAGGCCAAGGCGAACAGCTTGATAGCTGTCTCCTTTTGCAGCTTTTCAGCACCTTCCAGCTGCATTAGGCTAGCGCGCAAGAGTGTGTCCTCCAGTTCGGATTTCTCTAGCTCAATGTCACAGAGCGGCAGCTGCATGCGCAGCTCCTGCAGCATGGGACGCGGATTGGTCATAGGATAGGAACTGCCACGGCACAGCACAGCCTCAATGATCTGTCTGCGCTCCGAAAGCGCGATTATAAAGTAGTTATTGGACACACTCGAGCTCTGTTTCATGGTGTCGCAAATGGGAAACCAAGCATTACTGGCACGCCGATATAACTGCACCAAGCCCATGTTATCCGCAAAACAGGGCGAGCCCACGTCCGAAAAGCCTAGCCAATTCAGTTGCCGTCCCGGCGTCAGCGGCACAGGAAGCTGCTCCACGCGCAGACTTAAGCCGCTGATATTTATCAGCATGGCTGCCAGATGTTGTTGGGTTTCGCTGCTGCCGGCGGCATGGTAAACACACAGCACGCTGTGCTCATGCCCGGCCAACGCCAGCACCGGTCCTGGTATGGTCAGCACCTCACGCTGAGTGCCCATGACGCTGAAGAGGCGCAGAAAATGATTGCTAGTGGCCGCGGCAATTAGATGGCTGGTGGCTACCAGCGCCTCCACACTTTCGCAATCCGGCAGGCTGAGCGACCATTCCTTGTTACCGGCAGCAGCCAAAGCTATGACCACCAGTTTGCTGCTCTCGGTGGAGGCCAATGCCAATGCGCTGCGGCTGACACTTGCCAGATTATGCTGATTATAGTTGTTGCTCAAGTGCAGCGCATGATGCACGCTGGCATCATGGAACTCCACATCGATGGCACCGTCACCGCTGGGCTCTGTGTGTGCGGTAACAATGCCCACATCATTCCAAGCCAAATACCGATGCTCCAAATCGTTTGGTGTAGCGCCTGGCTGAAATGCCGCCTGTTGCTTGAAGAGCTTTAGCTGTGGGGCAGGCGGTGCTGCGCTACTGCTGGCCAGGGAGTGCTTGGAGTGCTCATCGTCTAGGGCATCCGGCTCCATATACGCAGCGTTGCTCATAACTTTGCGCTTCAGCTGTTCCAGGCTAACGCCATCGCCATCATCAGCGTCCGCCATATTCTCATCATCGCCCTGCTCAAATTGAAAGCCAGTGCCCGTCAGGAGCTCATCCTCCTCTGCCAGCTCACCGTCTAGCCCTTCCTGCGGCTCTTCATCGCCCAGAAATATGGTGCCCAATTGGCCGGTTGCATCGCAATAGGCCAACTCATCCACATTGACCGGATTCCAGGCCAAGCACGTGATGGCTTTGCAGTCGCTGGGCGGCGCCTCCACCTGCAGTGGCTTGCGCCGTGCCACATCAAAAATGCTCAGCTCCCCGCTGGTAGTGCCCGCTGCCAGACGCTCGCCATTTGGCGAGAACTGACAGCAACTGTAATTACTCGAGACGCGCTCGTCCTGCAGTCTGTAGGCCACCTCCCAGTTGGATGTATTCAGAACAATCAGCTCCTTGTCCAGCGCATAGGCCAATTGTTCGCCGCGCTGTGGCTCAAAGCTGGGCGTGCCAAAGAGACTAGCGCTCTCAAAGCTATTGACGCGCGGCAAGCCGGCCAGGCTCTTCAGTTCCACGCCTGTCTCAAAGTTCCACACCTTGAGCTGACCATCGCCGGCCACAGAAGCCAACAGCTGGCGCTCAGCGTACACATCCAATGCCAATATGGGTCCCTTATGCCCCTCCAGTGTTTTTTCGGCTCCGGCATTGTCACCATGCAGCACCTTAATGCTGGTATCCTCGCTACCCGCGGCTGTATACTGCCCACAGACGCGCAGACACGTAGCAGGCGCAGTGAATCGCATCAGAATGCCATCGCTGTCCATATCCGGAAAGGTGTACGCGTGCACCGTATTGCGGTCTGTGGAAGCCAACAGACGGCTGCCCGTATGCGCAATGCTCATGACAAACTCGCCCAGACAGGTGGAGCGCGGGTCATCGTCGCTGATGCAGGTCCAGTGGCGTATATCGCCATCGGTGCCACAGGTGATAATGAAATCCCCTTTGGGCGTGTACAGCAAGCCCGTGTAGCCGTTAGTGTGCGCATAGCGCAGCGAGCTGCGCGAAAAACTCATTTTTTATTATTTAATATTAGATGAGCTCCGATCTTCGCTCTTGCAGCGTTTCGCGCCAAAACAAAACTCAACAGTGCTGGACAACGTGCACTTCCGAACACTGTGCATCACTGTTTCGTCCGTTTTGCAAGCATGCAGATACGCAGCTCATAATATAATTTAATTAATAATAAATAGTATATATAAAACACGTATTATGATAAACAATAGGTAAATAAATAAAGCACAACACAAAAAGTAATTATCATTAGACATGTAACAGGCGAATAAACCACACTCAACTTGCATGAACAGCGTACTTGGCCTACAAGAAAACAGCTGTTCTGTGTGTTATTATTACGGTAGCTGTTGCCGGCCTTACGGCATAATAAATATTAAATAATGCTAAAAACGTGTACGAAAGGCTTGACAAGCAATTGTGGTGCTTGGCGCTGCCTTGCAACGCAACCAACGTACATGAACATCTTCGATAGAAATACAAAGCGTCTGCAAAAAGAACGCGCCGCGCTGAGGTGAGATCTGCTCGTAGTTCAATTGAGTCTGGCTGACAGTATTGAAACCTTTACAGCGCAGATGTGGCGACGTATGACTACCTAAAGGAGGAGGTGGGCTTTCGTCTAGCGGATCGCGTGTTTGACATTAAGCGCGAGTTCAAGACAGCTGCCGATATTGGCTGTAATCGCGGCTATATATCCAAGCACATACTCGCCGAGTGCGTGGAGCACCTGACGCTGACCGACACGAGCGCCACAATGCTGGATCAGGCGCAGGGCACACCAGGACTGAAAATGCGCAAACTGGTGCAGGACGAGGAGCATTTGGATGTGGGTAAACGCGTGCAACTTGAACTGTAAGATGGAATATAAGCACTTTCTGCCCTTGCAGTTTGAGGAGAACTCGTTGGACTTGGTCATCTCCAGCTTAAGCTTGCACTGGGTCAACGATTTGCCCGGCTGCTTTGCGAGCATTAAACGCAGCCTGAAGCCCGATGGCGTGTTCATAGCCTCACTCTTTGGCGGCGATACTTTGTATGAGCTGCGCTCCTCGCTGCAACTGGCCGAGCTGGAGCGCAAGGGTGGCCTCGCGCCGCATGTTTCGCCCTTCACACAGATCCGCGATATTGGCTCGCTGCTGAATCGTGCCGGCTTTACCATGCTGACAATTGACACAGACGAGCTGGTCATTGGCTACCCCAGCATGTTTGAGCTAATGTGGGATCTCAAGGGCATGGCCGAGAGCAATGCCGCCTTCAATAGGCCGGCGCATCTAAGTCGCGAGACGATGCTGGCTGCCAGCGCCATATACAAAGAGCTCTACGGCAAACCCAATGAAGAAGGCGTACCGGCGACATTTCAAATTATCTACTTAGTAGGCTGGAAGCCGGGTCCAAATCAGCCTCAACCGCTGCCGCGCGGCACAGCCGAGGTATCGCTTAAGGATCTGGGCTCCATTGTAGAAAAAGGCGGCAAAATCAAAATAGATCCCGATACGTGAACCTGTAGTCTGATAAAAGCGTTACAATAAAATTCAATTTTAAAGATTATTTTGAAACGCACTTGGAAAATTTAATTTACAATCAACTTGTAACTTAAACAAAACAAAAAAAAAAGGAAAAAACCTCGTTTTGAGAAAGCAAAAGTATCTTGTTTATAAGACGAACATAGGGCGCAGTTCTCTTTCATTTGTTTTACGTGCGTGCTAAACTTAAATTATGCATATACATAGTTGGTTTCTCTTTTTGATATAAATTACTTAAAGTTAAGTATAAATTTGCATAGTTAGGCATACATCACTATACACATAGATAATCATAATCATAATCATTCGTTAGCTCTTGTTAATTATCAACTCACTTGCTTATATTTGGTAGCACTTGCTATATATTTCATGGACGTAACTTTTTATTTTTTGTTTTGTATTTTTTTTAACGTTGCTTTGTATTTTGTTCGGTACGTATATACAAGTACAATTTACAACATGTCTATAATAACTATAATTTATTAATATATATATATATATTTATTTCTATAACTATATTGTTGTTCAATATCCAATTGTTGTTTGGTTTTAAATATATTATTTTTAGTTTTGTATTAAATACGAGTTGCTCTTGCTACAACAAATAATTGTTGCATTTAAATCTCGATTGCTTTTTTTTTCAAGTTTTTTTTTTTTTTTTTATTTTTATTTTTGTTTCGGGCAGTTGGCCCTTGTCAGTTTTTGGCTCTGTTTAAAAGTCCTTTACGCAAATAAGCACAAAGTTTCTTTACAAGCACACTTTGTTAAGTATTTATGTACAAAGAATATGTAACAAAAATATTTGCCGAATAATTGATTTAGCGAACAATTTTGTCAAGAACAAGAACTTGAAATTTGCGAAACTTTTTTTTGGCTGCTCTTTCGTTCTTTTTGTTTTTTTTTTTTTTGTTTTGTGTGTTTTTTTTTTAGTGGCAAGGCGACAAATCTTAAAGCTAGGCACAGGACAACGACGACGTTGGACACAATTAGAACTGCTTAACGGCTGTGCTCTGCGTCCTTATGGGTGTCGACGTCGGCGTCGTCCTGGCTAATCATCCCAGCGCCAATGGCGAGCGCGGCGGCACTGGCGGCGGTGTGGCTGTGTTTCTGGCTGTTGCTGTGATTGTTGCAGTGCTTGTTGTTGTTGTTGTTGCTGTGGTTGTTGCTGAACTGATTGCTGATGTGTGGCTGTTGGCTGCCGCTGCGGACATCGCGTTGGATGCCGGCGGCAGCTGACGTCAGGTGCCCAGCAGCAGCTCGCGTTGTGGAGCATTTTGCAGCATATTGGCGGTTTTTAAATGAATGCTGTAAGCAGAAATAAAGCCCAATTAGTATATATCAATATTTAAAAAAGTATGCTCACTTATTGTCCTCCAGCGACATTGTCTCCGATGAGCCGTGCGAGGCAACTGAAGTACCTGCAAGCGAACTTCGTATTGAGTGCGAATCCTCGGGAACAGTAAGCGTAACTAATAGTTTATGTTTTCGTTTGTATATGGTATAATATTTAGATTTAGACGTTTCAGCGTTTGCCAATTTGTATAGAGAGTTTGTTGTTTGTTTCCCAATTGTTGCGTTTCCCAATGCATTGTAGATTTTGATTTATATTATTTTGATTTGTTTGTGTATTTTGAAAAAGAATTTGCATTTAGTTGAGTTGACGAATTTTGGTTAAAATAGTTAGTGTATGTTGTGTTGTGCAAATAAAATAATCGTTTTTTTTTTAATTGTTATTTATCAAATATGAGCTGCAATAGTTTGTTCTAGGTTTGAAAACATGCAAGTGTGATAAAACAATAACTAGCAAAAAGAAATCATATGTTCAGTACAAAAATCAAATATATTTATTTTCGTGTGGCATTTAACTAGTATATTATATATATATATGTCTATATAAGGTTTTGCTAGAGCTACTACATTATGAATTTGGCTTTAACTTGAACATTAACTAAGGTTTGAGTGCTTGTGTGTGTGTGTTTTAAGTAGCACAAATTTATATATAAATGCAAACCTAAATTAAGGCAGAAATATAATTTTTAATATGCAATTGCATACATACATGTTTTGTTCTATATAAGGTTTAGGTTATAACAAGGAGTGTGGGGAGCATTAATAAATATATATATTTTTATATAAGTGTATATAAAGAGTAGTTAATAGATTAAGTTAGTTTTAGTTGGATTGTGCATTGAAAATCGTTGTACGAATTGCTGGAATCGTTGGTATCTTAGGAATTATCAGTTTTTGTTGGTTTTGTTTTGTTTTTGTTTTTGTTTGTGGAATATAAATGACTGATTTCTATAATATGTAAGTAATATCAGTAGTGTTTGAGAAATTGTACTCTTAAATACAAAACGTTGACTTTAGACAAAAATTACGTTTAACAATTTATGTGCTAGGCAACAATTTCGATAGCCAAATGTTGTACGAAAATTAAAGCTAATTATATTAATTTTTCTTCTTCAACTAATTAATTGGCATAACATTCAAGTTGAGCAACGGCAAATCAATAAGGGGAATAAATTCAAGTACAAATTTGAACTTAAATGCTACGACATATAGATAGAAGAAATAAACAGACTAAAGACGCGTATTCTCCACGCTCAGCGCATCATCATTATCGTCATCAACATCATTGACAACATTATGAACATAATTTTTATCATTATGATTAACAGCATTGTTCAATAACTTCTCCTTTTGTTTATCAGCTCCGTTCTGCATTAGGGTGCGTACGTTGTGTGCTGCTGGTTGTGTCTGCTGATGATGCTGATTCTCGAGCTGCATCTGAAGCTGCTGGCCTTGTAGCGCCTCCAGCGCTCTGTCCAGATCTAGACGATTGCGACTATCGCTTTCGCTACAATAGCTGTGCCGCTGATTTGATAATCTATCGGCTGAGGTGTGCTGCATATAATGAAGATGATGCTGCTGCTGCTGCTGCCAGGGATAGTTGAGGTTGTTAACGCTCTGGCTGCGGCTGTCTTCGGGGCCGGTAATCACAAAGCCATTGCTATAGAGCGAATAGCTACTAATCGCCGGCGAGGTGGCTAAACTAGTCATACTTTGATAGGTTTTCATTGAATACGCATCACCTACGAACAATAGAGATTAGGCAGTTGTTTTTTTTTTCGGATTGGGTTTTAGTTTTAAATTGGAGAGACGCCACACACAGTTATCACAAGTTGCCAAGAGACATTCCCGCGCAGACATTGAGAAGCGTATTTAATTGGATAAATGCGTGTGATACATATGGAGCGGACAATGTTAGACAAAATGTGATTGGGATGGAACATTATATCGAATGACATGTTGTGAACTGGTCGCATATTTAATATAAGCGTGACATGGCGCATTTTGCTTCAGCTTTTAAATATTTACACATATAATTGATATCGCTTATCTCTCCGTTTCTCGTATGTACATTTTTTAGTTTTTAGTGTCCGCAACAACCAAAACTCTATCAATAAACCGCTGCCTAGGGTAATATATATAAATATAGCCCACAACCGCACAAAATATAACATACGCCCGACTGCTGCAACATATTAATTTAAACGGGTCAAAGAACTTTGCGCCGCTGACTTAATGCAACATTTTTTCAAGCTTGTCGCAATTTGTGGGTTGAAGTTCAATCCAAACAATTAAAGAAAACGCAGCGAATTCTAACAGACGTGGCTTTATGTCAATATTACCTCATTTATACAGATATACGTACGTATATAACTTGAAGAAACTTTATAGACAGATATCATGGTTTTTTCTTTCAATTCACAAAGAAGAAAATTCAATACGACCGCTTAAGTTGACGCATAAACAATGTATACATATATGGCTTATAGAGATTGCCGATGATGACGCTGTTTTGAGTGCTCATCAGTGACGATCATTAAAAAACAAGCCTCCAGTAAAGCTGATATAAACAAATTTATGAATGTATATGCCATCACAACAAACCAAATAATAAATAAACTCATATATACAAAAATGGGAACTCTATGACAGACGTAAAACAATAAGTACACATATACCTTAAGCTCAACAAAAAATACAAATAAAGAAACTTTGTACATAAGTAATACGATTGTAAATCTAGAATACGTATAAGGTATGTAATACAGTAGAATTTTGTTTCTTTTTTCTTTCTAATTATATACATAAATTCCGATTTATAAGCTTGCACCACACACACTAAAAATTATAATCAAGTGCTGTTTATATTATTGTATAAATTGATAAGCTTTATATTGTTATTTTAGTACAGAAGCAAGCGTTAGTAAAGGTGTATATAAAGACAGTCAAGTTTAGTAGTTGTGCCATAATAAAGATATAATAAAGCTAACTCACCAGTTGCGCACTCGGATGTCTCATAGGACACTGTAGATTGTACCTCAATTGCGTTTTGTTCTTGTCTATCAGAATATAAAACAAAATATTAATTGCGGTTTATACATCATTATAGTCCAAATGTTCAACCTTGATATCACATCGGTTAAGACTTGCTTTTCCGTATCGGTATAGTCACGTCGGCGACCGGTTTTTTTCTCACGATCCGCCTCCACAAACATGCCTAGCGGTCGAGTAGGAAACTCATTGGATTTCGCTGGCGGAGGTACATCGAGTTTTAGATCCTTTAGCTTTTTCATAACGCGCTCCAGCGCCTGAATGGCATCGTCGTCATTGTAACCAAAATTCTTGTGCAGCTTCACCTGCAAGTATTCAATAATGCCATCCATATCCTTGAGGCGCAACAGCTCATCCTTGTGCAGATAGAGTATGGTCACGGCCATGGCCAATATAACACGATCGCCGTCCAGCAGAAAAATATCCCACACGCGTAAACTAAGACTAAACGGCACCTATAATACAAAGGGACGACTTCAATTAAATGGAACACGCATCGGCATTGACATCAGTTAACTCACGCGCTCCACAAAGACCACAAAGAACCACTTGATGGCATAGAGTAGCGCATCCACATTGTGTTTCATAAAATGCTTGTGCAGTTTACGCATTATCTTGGACAATATACGATCATGATGCTCGATGAAGCGTGTCAGCTTTGGAAAGCCCTCAATGAACAGCCCATGCATGCCATATTTACGATCCGTGATGAGCGTGTTGAGTGCCCAAAATGCCTCTTCCTCCTGCATGTAGAGCAATAATACGCCCGCCACACATGCCATGCCCTGACAGTAACCAAGCTCCGAATTGTAAATGCTGTAAGCGTTCAGCACATTAAACAGCGAGCATTGCTTGACGCTATAGCGTTCCCGATAGGCCAGATTGTCACGAAACTGACGATTTACGTCCGCATCGATTTGGCGTGTCTCAGTCGCATTCTGCTTGGCCATTTGCAGCATGCGCATATAGACGCCCGCATTGGTGTCCATCGAGTGCTGGACATTGAGCAGCTGTTTCCACGCCGGCCAGCGCATCCGATCCGGTATTCCCTTGTATACGCGCTTATGCAATTTCTCTTGTGGCGGCGGCCAGTGATTCAGCATTTTCACCCATTTTTTATCGCGCTCCAATTCGATCCTTGTGCGTTGCACTTCCTGGGAGTCGCGTGACGATGGCAGGCGGGAGTCGTGCATGAAGCCGTATCTAAAAAAAAAACCAAATAGATATTAAAAAACGTTTAGTTAATAATTTTCGGTGTCATCGCAACTGATAAGATACCAAGTAGCAAACGATTTCATCAGGAATACAATTTTGTAGCCTCTGTGCTTTTTATACATTCCAACGTACTGAGGCATATAATATATTGCCTTACGGCTAAGATAATCTAGGAAGCACTATTTAACAGTTGATCTTAAATATAAGAATATGGCCAAATTGAGAATATTTACTTTAGAAACTTACTACAAACTGCATTTACATTATTCAATCATTTTTCTAATGTTGTTGAACACTTTAATGCTCAATTCGCCCTCTTTTGCTGCCCATCATATCTGGTCCCATTGAAGGGTCTTACATTTTTTTTATCTATCACACAGATCATGTCACGATAAGTTTTAGCGTATAAACGGCATTAAGATACTACCACTTACTTGTCGGTTATATGATAGATTTCAAATGTGGGATTCTCCCAGGAGTCGACGACATTATTGGGATCCAGACCCAACTCATAGCGCTTGAATATGTCCTCGCGTTCGTCTTCGGCGCGTTTAACTAATGCATGTTGCTGTTGCTGCTGTTCGCCATTATCATGGGCGGGCGGAGCGGCTGTCATTGTGGGCGTGGGCTAGCAATCGGCATCCAATTGCTGCTTTTACTGCTGCTGCTATTCCGCTTGTGGTTGTTGTCGTTCTCCGTTATGGCTCCGTTTGGTGTTTGTGTGTGCTTGGCAAGAATGTTGAATGGGAGCGGCTGCTGCTGTTTGGCGATAGCGCGAAACTTTTGTTTTAAGATAAAAGCCAACCATAAAAAAAATACCAGCATTAACATATGAAAACGAACTCTAGTATGCACACAGTCACACACACAGGCACACATACACACCAATCAACAGTAAGTTTTGTACATTCATTTAAATGCAAGTCTTCGATTTCACTGCAAAAAAAAAGTTTGTTGCATGTGTGCGTGTGTTTTGCTTTTTAAATATGCAGCAGCAACAACAATAACAGAGAGAGAGTGTGAGCGAGAGAGAGGGAGAGCGCGTTAGCGTTGCCAAATGACGTGATATTCAATAATATTTAAAAGCGTCCCTGAAGCGGCATCAAATGTAAAACAACAACCATATACTACAAAAAGTTACTAAGAAAAAGAAAAAACGCCCCCACATCGAATGATCGAATGGGCAAGCAAGCGTGGTCTGGTTTTTTGATTCAGCAACTTTTACAATTGTTTTATGAATATTTGTTTTCACTAAAATTGATCTCCTTGTGTTTATCTTTTTACACTTCCTGTTTTGATTTTGCTCTGACATTTTTATTTTATTTTTGTCAACACTCACTCACGCTTACATGCAGACATGCACTCACACACATGCACAAACGCATAGCGTTTTGTTCTGGTGCTTTCACTGTTTTCTAGTTTTTGCTGTTTAGGCTGTTATGCCGTAGTGTTAAAAATTGCGCTTATTACCATTTAATTTTGTTATAATTTATGTACAATTTGTGTTCAATTAATAAAAATGAGCACGTTTACTGTTTTTTTCAGCCTGCATGTTGAGCGAGATTTGACTTAACAGAACTGACTGCCCCCACTTAGCAGACTACTGTTTATTAACATCGTCCAGCGTTGCCAGAGCTTGATAAAGGTTTAGCATTTGGCGCGCGTCACAGTACGGCAACACTAAGCGCGCTGAACTAGCTCGATACACAAACCTAACTATTATCGATAGCTTTGATACCTGGTTCGTACGTCTTCGACCATTTTTTTTGCGTGTATGTAGTTTTAATTGTGCTGGTCGAAAGAATTGTGTAAAAAGTCCATGAAAACGTCTCAAATTCATCCAAAAAGTGTTGTGCTGTGCACTAAACGCGTACGCACATTACAAAACATACGAAAAACAATGCACACACAATAATTCCATTGAATAAAACGGGTAAGAAAAACGCTATGCCCAAAGTGCGTAGCAAATTGCTCTCAGAGTTTCCACTGCTTTGCGCTGTACACACACTCTCGTTCAAACGAGCTGGATGTGTAGTTTGGGTACATGTTTTGAATGATGCTTGTCATCGGTCGATTATCAATCAGTTGATAATCGAAATTAAAAACCGCAATTAACTATCATTTGCCCGTATTCGCCCACGGTTGCAGCATTTGTCCATCAAAGCGGATACAGCCTGTCCCCAAACACTTCGAGCCGTTGCCACAAATTCTCCGGAGATTAACGACTGCATTTGCTGTTGTTCGATCGGCATGGTCTCAACGCGCCAAATGTGCGGCAATGCTGGAGGTGCCGGCTTCGATGAGACGCCAACATCCACCCGTGCCACGGTGGTGCGTCGCACCACACACTATCAGCATCATAATCAGCAGCAGGTTGCCACCTGCTCGTCGGCAGCGGGTGCGGCGGCGCCCGTTTTACAGTTTTTGGACTTGCCCACGGAGCTGATCATCAAAACACTCGGCTATTTGGATTATAAGAAAATCAGCAATTTGAGATTGGTAAGTGGCTAAAGAGAGCGGGGTATTGGTGGTTTGCATTATTTAATCAATAAAAAGCAATTTGCAAAGTGTAAGTAGAATGCGCGTGGGTCGTGTTTGGCTAAGTATGTAGCTAGTGGTGGGCTGAGGGGCAGGGGCATATTATTTCACTACCTGCATGCACTTGTACTTGTTGTTGTAATATTTATTATTATTACCACTGAAAAGTCGCTAACAGAGTTGACCGCGTGCCGTGACACGAACGGACACGATTCATGTTTGTGCGCGTTCAGGTAGTCAAGAAAACGACTAACCAAATGTAAAGGTATCATAATGAAAAATACCAAAAATAATAAACATTATTCTTATTGGAACAGGCCAGTAAATAATCGCTCAGTACAGTAATCTCTCGCAAGTTACCTTTTAATGCAAAATGCTTCTATGTGATATTCTTTTAGTATTAACAAATACCAAAGCTACAAATTGTTATAACTTGAGAAAAAATTTGAAAAGAAGTCACTTTTTAACATGAAGCTGTACGATATAGAGTCCGAGATCTTCCTCATGTTTTGAGAGGCATAGGAAAACACGCGAATGGCAAGTTTGAAACAAATTTTTATTGCAGTTTTTACATGAAAGCACTACTTTCAACCGATAATTGCAATAGACGCTATATTAAAAAGTGGTCTAGTCTGTAGAACGTAAAGTTATGTTAATGATAATTTGTAGACAGAGAAAGTTCTAAATACTGAGCGTTCTCTGTAGATTCACAATACCGTTTCAATATGAAACAGTTTTCGAAGGGCATTTCAAAAGCAATTACTGAAATCTGATAGCACGAAACTAAACGGCACAATACAAATAATTTAAAGTGCAAACAAATCGTGATGCGGTATGCGATGTATCTCACGCGCTCATCTCTATGTTTTTTTCTTGGTTTTTTGTCATGCATTTGATTTTGTGTTCATGTGTGTCTCTTTGCCTATGTGTGTGTGGCAAAGTTTGCATGTGTGTGTATGTGTATGTATGTGTGTATATGTTGTGCCTGAGTGCAGTAGGTAGGTAAATGTAATCTGATATATTTTTGAGATGTTCTCTAATTTTGGATGCGGGATGCTGCTGGCGTTACCCTTTTATACCAAATACCAATTGTTAATTCAAAAGTAATATAAAGTTTTTATTTTTCTGAAATTTGCAGGTGTCAAGTCGCATGAACGACATTTGCATGAATATGCTAAATGTGGCTTTCGCCAGGCAAATTAAGACGACTTTCAATCGCTTCCAGTCGATCAAGTCGAGCATGCCACGTCGGGAATCGGCACGCCGCCAGCATCCGCTGGCCTGCGAGTGCGACATCATCGAGACATGCTATATGCGCCTCTCATTGCTCCAGATGTCGATGGGCAAACACATCGAGCGTGGCCATTGCTGTTTCTTTCCGGGTGCCGTAAGTGTAGCTTGAAGTCGGTGTCAATTGGTTATTTCAAGGTCTTAATCAAATTTGTTTCACAGATACTTGATGAGGTGCACTCGATTTTGAACTATATCAGTATTACGCCGCGTTTGCAGCGTCCTTATCGTGTCACCGATGAACTCTTTGATCTCTCGACCATGGCCATGGAGTACTTTAAGGATCGTATTGAGCCCACGCTGCCGGGGCTGGCGTATTTCAACAAGGACTTCTTTCAATTGCCCGCTACCACAAAGCGGCGTAAGTTTTGATTTTGTAAATTGAAATCTTTTTAGTTGCTCATTAAACAGCATCTCTCTGTTTCAGCTACCTTGGCTATTAGCTCGGATCTCTCAGACAGTTCGAATAACTCACCACCTCAAAACCACATGGTTTTGCGTAAGGGCATACGCAAGATCAAACAGGGCATGAAGATGTACAATAATCAGCTATCGGTGCTGCGCACCGAGCTCCGCACCTGCAAGCGCAAGGCCGCTGAGCAGAGCAAACAGCTCGCGGAGCAGCAAAATCTATTGGCGGAGCACCAGAAACAGACGCTCGAATATGCAAACCGGCTGGATGAGAATGACAAAAAGAATGAGGAAATGGCACGGAAGTTTTCCACATTGTTGCAGGTGATTTAGTTAGTTAGTAAACTCGAAGAGATTCTAGAATCTCTATTTTAGCTATGTATATGTTAGATTATTTGACACGATCGAATGACTGACCAAATCGCTAGATCTAATGGGAAACGATTACGATTGCTCCCAGAGATTTGGAAAATGTACTTTAAACTGTTCTTTCCACATACCGGGGTGAAAAATTGAATGAAAGGTTGTCTGAACGAAAGTTAAATTAAAAAGTTAACATTAACACAATTACTGAATACTTGTGATAATAGTTGTTACTATATATATATTATTATATAGTATACATGTGTATATGTTTACCATATTTGCAGGAGCTCAACAAGTGCAAAACCGAGTTACAATTTTGGCGCTCAAAGAGCCCCGCCATATCGTCAGTGTGCAGCTCGTGCAATCAGAAGGTGGCACCAGTACTGCCGCCCGAGGATTTGCAGGCGCTGGTCAATCAGGGTGTCGATCCTGAAAACATAATCATTATCAACGATGAGACCGATCCAGAAGCCGATGCGGATGGCGCGGTTGAAAGCAATGCGAGCGGCTGTGAGCTGGCTGTGTCTGTTGACAAATCGTTTGCCTTTCCGGACGAAAGCACCACAGCCAAGCTGTTGGCCGTCAACACGGCCGCCAAGAATCAGAAACGCAAATATGCGGCAACGGTGGACACCGAAATCGCCGCAACGTCCAATGCAATTGCGTCCAATGCGACACCGTCTTATTCAAAAGCTGTGGCCCAGCAAACAACAAGCGCCAGCTGTGGCTATTCGACAAAACTCTTTTATGGCAATCATCAACGCAGCGGCGTCATCGTAAGTCCAGTGTCCATGAAGCTGGCAACGGTGCCAGACAATAGCAATGGGATGCCTCCAGCCAGTGTGCAACAGTTGCTGCAGCAACCAGACAATGGCGACGCATCATTGCCGGCCGTGGGGGCGACGGAGTCCGCGAGCAACTTGGTTCTCGTGGAGCAGGTGGAGGCGAAGAAGGCACGTAGAGTACAAAAGGCCAATAGGTGTTTAAATGCACATGGCAAACGCAGTAAATAAGCATAAAAACATATACAAATTAAATTTTTTACTACTTACTTATACATAAACATATATTTACATATAAAAGTCGCACACACGCACAACACACCCAGAGTGCAGCAAAAGGCTTGTGTGTGTGTGTCTGTGCCTGTGTGTGCGCTGTAGTGTTAAAAAAAAAAACAACAACAGAGGAATCAAATTAAATATATATACATACATATGTAGTTACCTATATGTACATGTATATCTTTTACGAACATTGATTATCATTATTATTATTATTATTATTATTACCATTTACAAAATGTATCTGTATGTTCTACACACAACCACAGCCACAAGCAAAATATAAAATCATTTTGAAACACATGTTCACAGCAATATGTATGTAGTTTTGAAGTATAGACAGAGCAAAAGCGATAATAATAATTTAAAAGCAAAATAATTTTTAATATTAGTAGCCACACACATAGACACAACAAATTAAGGCAGGTGTGGAAAAAAAACAACAACAAAAAATCATGAAAAGAAATGGCAAAGAAATATTTTAAATAAAACTTTAACGCATACAAAATCAAATGCAATGTGTTTGAACTTCTATCATGAAATACGATAAATATAAGAGGTTACTCTTATTGAAAAACTCTTTCGTTTACATAGAATTGCACTTGGACACCCAATCAATATTTCGGTGCGTTTTTAAATGTTGTGCCACTTCATGGTAAAATCTTAACTAATGCGGAACACAAACTTGAAAAAATGACAGCGTTGCCACCTAACAGAGTTAAAAGCGGTTATATTAAAAGCCGATATACAACACAGTCGTCCTCATCGATTGCGATAACTCCCTTTCGTTTAAACAGTTAATTATCGATAACCATGGGGCAAATTGAAAACACATAAAATATGTGAAAGTGCGCGCCCAACAAAGAGAAAATTGGGCTGTCGCGGTTGCTAAAGAGGCAACTAACTAAAAATAATCGACCGTGTGTGGCGTTGGGCACGCAATTAGCCAAAGTACTTAGCAAAGCGACGCAGTCGAGGGAAATATTCTGGTGGGGTCGGCTACCAGTCGAGAGAGCAAACCAATCTCCTGCTATATTTATAATTGGCGACTCCAACTAACGCGTCTGGCAGTCACTCTTAGCGCTCGCTTTTGGTCGAGCACAGCGCGCATTACCGTGAAAAAAATTAACCAAAAAATTTTTAAACGCTTTGCCTTGTTGCTTTTGCAGGCGGACAACACGTAATCGAGGCAAATGCAAGATTACAACGAAAAACTGAACGATGTCTACGATGAGCAGCTGGGCAGGTGCTGGAATTGTGTTAGACAAACATTGCATAAATAAATATATTGATAGATTTTATGTACATCATTTTGCAGGCATCTGGTGGCCAGCATGAGCATCGAGGCAGGCGAAACGCTGCTGGACGAGCGACCGTTGCTGGTGGCGCCGCATTGGGAATGCGGTCAGCTAAAGTGCGCCCAATGCTTGCAGGAATCGTATGTTATGTGCCGCAAGTGTCAGGTGTATCCATTATGCATGGATTGCAGCGAACATGATGCGTTCGAGTGCGAATTCTTTGCCAGCGGCGCGGGCAGTCGCATTAGCAAGGATTTGCTAGTTAAGAATTATGGCATCTGTGCGCTGTTGAAGCTGCTCCTGCTGCTGGAGCAGCCGGAACAGCGTGCGCTGTGCCAGACGCTGTTGGACACACCAGTCAAATTGGAGGACTATCGCAATGAGGATGGCCTGTGGCAAGAGCGTGATGAGCAGGTGGTGCGTCCGTTAATTTCCAGCGGCCTGGTACAGGCATTTCCCGACCAGCAACTGACAGCGGAAGTGCTGCACGCCCATTGCATACGCATCGACAACAGCGCTTACGAGGTGACCGCCCGAGACGGGGACACACTGAAGGGCGTTTATGTGCGCGGCGCCAGTTTGCCGCATAGCTGTGTGCCCAACACGGTGGTGGCTCTCGACGAGCAGTTCAACATGAAGCTATATGCTGCAGTGCCTCTAGAGAGTGGCGACATCATCTACACATCCTACACGAATCCACTGATGGGCACTAGTCAGCGTCAGCACCAGCTGCGTCTGAGTCGGCATAAGGAATGCGCCTGTACGCGTTGCCTGGATGCCACCGAGCTGAACACCCACATGAGCAGCATGAAGTGCAGAGACTGCCCCGATGGCTATGCCGTTTGCGAGCTGAGCGGCAGCGGCGATTGGCGCTGCCTTAATGCGAGCTGTGGCGCTGTCATTCCAGCCACCGAGGTGCACGAGCTGCTGGCCGAGGTGGGCAGCGCCCTGGTTGAGGCCAGGGGCGAGCTAAGCGCCTATGAGGCTCTACTCGAGCAGCACAAGCAGCTTCTACATCCCAACCACTTTCTGTTGCTGGACATTAAGCAGAATATTGCCAGCATCTTGCGTGCGGCAGCTCTAATGAATTCCCTGAATGATCCCTGCAAGAAACTGCTGGCACGCCGCGTTGAGCTCTGTGGCGATCTACTGCCCGTTTGTCGCGCTGTCGTGCCCGGTCTCTCCAAGCTTTATGCCATAGCGCTGTTCGAGTACTTGTTGGCCTTTGTGGAGCTAACCGAACTGCAGTTTGCCGAGGGCGATGTTAACAAAAAGGAGTATGTGGTAAGTGGGCTAAAATCTACACATATCAAATATGAATCAAATACCGAATCCTCTCACCCTCAATAGGCGCAGCTCACACGTGCACGCTCGGTGGCCAAGGAAGCGCTGGATTTGCTACAGTTTGAGCCGGAGAATTCGGCGGAGGGTTTTTTAACCGACCGTATTGGCGTGGAGCTGGAACGCATTGAATCCGATTTGATGAAATATGGAAAACTTTAATGCGAAATTGGAATTTATTTGTGTAATACAACTATACTGAAATTCCTTGAGCGGAGTTGTCGTTTAGGCGAACAATTTTTGTGTACTCCCTATATTTATTCCATACTTATTCAAATATTTTTATTATATTTTGTAGAAACCCCTTCGAGAAGATTTATAGAAAGAACAATTCTCTATTTTTTGCTTAACCAAAAAGTAAATATATTCAGGCATAAATATTTATCTATCAATAACTGGTACAAATTTGGGATAGTACGAAAACAAACACACAATATTAAATAAAAAAGCTAAACAAATGCCTTAATATTTTTTGTTGTAAGTTTCCGTAGGCTCTAATTTAACAACTTTTTTATGCGGAAGCTCTTGAAACCATACGTAAAATATTTTTAATTTTCAAATTTACAAATTACTTTAAGAAAACGAAACAAAGAAAAGTTATCCAAGGAGTTTGGAGTTTGGAGGAAATTTATAAGGCACACAATTGGAATCACGCCGAAACATAAGTGATTTGGCATTAGAGTTTCTAGTGCGTTGTCCCTGAACGTGCCCAGAGCAGGTTCAACAGCCAGCGGCAAAACAAAAGCAAGAGCTGCGGCAAATGGACCGAGTAATCACTCGATAGAGTAGAATAAATAAAGAATTGCTTTCAAATATAAATAAATCTAAAATGAACTCGTATCGTTCGAGACAATATCGGGCCTCAGTATACGAGTGCTAATTGGCGACAGCAGATGCAATTTTTGGCCCAAAGCAACAGAATCAAGGAAAACCTTTAGAATGGCCGCTGTAACGGAAGACTTTGCCAAAAAATGTGAAGTGAAGCAGAACGAAACGCTAGGCAGGTGGGTGCACCCACTCAAAGGAGTTGCCATTGATTAACCATTCATATGGTAGATATGTGGTCGCCGCTACCAATATTAAGGCCGGGGAAACGGTGCTGCTGGAGCAGCCTGTGCTGCTGCTGGCCAACAATGGGGATCGGCGTTGTTGCAACTGTCACCAGCTGACGTCTTCATTTTGCGGGTAGGTACATGGCTTCCATGATCATAAACAGCTGCTCATTAAGTTAAATCTCTTGCTGCTCGGGGAGTTGCCAGCAAGTGCCGCCTAATGCCACTGTGCGCGGACTGTGTGGAGCACCATGGGCCGGACTGCCGGCGTCTGTCTGAGCTGCAGCTGCAGGAGCAGCAGGTGGAGCAGCTGCAGGCGCACACAGAAGTCTGCAGTGCACTGAAGTATTTGCTGCTGCGGGAGCATGCCGAGAAGAGGTCACACTATGAGCAACTGCTGCAGTTGGAGGCACATCTAGCCCGGCGACGCGACACAGACATCTGGCGCAGCTATCGGACGGAGGTGATTGAGCCACTGCAGGCCTCCGGTCTGCTGCTGCAGTTGCGCAATGGCGCGGAGATTGACGAGGAGCTGCTGCAGCGTCTGCTGGCCATTGCGGATATCAATGGCTTTGAGATCCGTGCGCCAGAGTCGGGTGGTGCCATGCGAGGGGTTTACATGACTGCCGCACTCTTTGCCCATAGTTGCCTGCCCAATCTGGGGACGGCAGTCGATGAGCAGCAACGCATCAAGCTCTATGCGAATCGTATTATAGCCGCTGGCGAAATTTTGTACAACTGTTACACGGACATCATGCTGGGCACCGATGAGCGGCGTCGCATACTCAAGACGGGCAAATGCTTTGATTGCGAGTGTGCCCGCTGTACGGATCCCACCGAGCTGGGCACGCATATGAGTAGCTTTGTGTGTTCCCACTGTACTGGCGGCTACATAGTGCGACAGCCGGAGACTGGCCTGTGGCAATGTCTGCTCAATGCCGAGCATACGCTGAAGCCCGAGTTTGTGGTCAATGTGCTGGAACGCGCCAAGGAGGAGGTTTTCCATGCACGCGAAGATATTTATCGGCTGGAGCTGTTGCTGGCCAAGCTGGGGCGTCTGTTGCACGGCAATCACTATATAATGCTCGATCTTAAGCAAAATATAGCGTCCATATTGCGACAAATCCTGCAGAACATGGCACATCGACCCAATCGAAAGGTCTACGAGCGAAAGATACGTTTGTGCCAGGAGATATTGCTGGTCTTAAAGGTTGTGGCGCCGGGCATATCCAGACTAAAGGCGATTGCCTTGTATGAGCTGGCCAACACTCAAGCAGAGCTCGGACGGAAATTGTACAGTGAACAGGAACATGACGCTGCGGATTTACTGGTAAGTATCATATTACATTTTCTTTTTCAATATAAAGTTTTAAAATAATAAATAAAACAGGCAGAGCTGCAGCAAATTGAGATAATGACGCGAGAATCACTACGAATGCTGCTTTATGAACCTATTTCCACACCGGAAGGTCAACTGGCACGTAATATGCTTAGAGAATTGAAAGAGCTGCAAAATGATATGAAAATGCTTCAGCAACCAAACGACGATGTTGTTATTTAAAAAAACGTTTTTTCCAAATATTCTTTTGAAGTAAACAAATTGTTTGTTTTTTTTTTCAAAATATTGCAATTTGAATGGCACTTCCGTTGGCGCAAAAATCGATTACTTGCTACTTAGTTGGTGTACTCGAAACTCATCAATGGCCGCAATCGATAATTTCAAGTGTTGCTAATGTAAAAAGTTTATTTAGTGTTTAGAGCTTTCCTTTTGTTGAATGATATTACGCATATTAATTGAAAGCTTGACGTAGCTTCTAGTGCAATTGTTTTCGAACATATGAGGAAGATAAAATTAGCGAATGGCATGGCGACGGCGCTTTTGTCAAAAGAACAGCTGATTGACCAAAATAAAACAGGCGATTGATAAAAGTGGAGACAATGCAACTGACGGTGGCTGGAAAACAAGCAACCCTAAGCTCAAAATAGGGTGACAACAGAAAAAACAAAGGTGGGCAGTGCACAAAAGCTGCAAGCGACGCCGACGCAGCCTGCTGTTCATTTACAGTTTGAGTGCTTTTGACGCGGTCCACTCGGCAATCTCAGTTAGTTTCTCAGTTTTGCTTCAGTTGCCCAATACTCGCTTCGCTTAGCTTTCAATAAACTAAAAAGTTAACACGACATGCAAATGTTGAATGTAGCCAAACGCTAAGCATGCCACAGAATTATACAAAATTGTGAAATTCATAATTGCTGCGCATTGTTGTCTACTTGCAAAATAGAAAATCCCCACTGCCAGCGACGTCATCGTCATGGCTTTGGCCAGCGCAGCGGGCGCTCTGCTCAAACCACAAACGCCGCTCCAGCAGCTGCTCGAGGACATTAACTTTCAGCGCACCAAGGAGATGCGACAGCTGCTCAAAGATGGTAAATAAAACTACTTAAACAAAGTTTTCAATTTTTAAGAAAATTTGTCTACATTTGCACATTATCGATTTGTCAAGCGCCCATCCGGCAACTCCTTCCACCCTTGTACATTACACACACAGCTGTTGTTGTGTATGTCTGTGTGTGTGTGATTTTGCCCCACTTTAGCGCACTTATTTGCGTAAATATATAAAGGCTTGCTGTATGCATTCAAATTAAGCTGTTTGTATTAGTGATCTCAAAGAGCTTTTTATCCGTTTTCTGTTTTGTTTTTGTTTACTCTTAAAGGTTCTTGTCAGCAGTTATCTGTTTTGTGTAGGTGTGCGACAAATAAAAATCCTCCCTTGTGGCAGGGCTTGACTGATATGAATAAAGTTGCAGTGTTGTGTAAATATATACATATATGTATATATGTGCGCTGATATCGACTAAACTTTTGAAGTTGTTTGTACAGATATGCCCTGATAGGAGTCTGAAATCTAACCGTTTATTTTAAGATTTTATTATGTAATGTTTCTTGCGTTACTTAAAAGATATATGTAAATTAATTTCTTCAAGGGAAATCTAAGCTGGGTTTTATTGTTTTCGATTATCTTGTTATATCGCAAAATGATTTAATTTAATTTTTTCCACTGAGAAACTCGAATATTTTCTAACAAAGCATAATTTTAAGCTATGCTTAAGAGGTATATCAGAATATTACCCGCAATGGTAAAAATTACAAAGATGCTTTTTGTCAATTATAGCAACAGCTTTGTTACCTAAACCAAATTAATTATACCTTTGCAGATGGTGGCTTTGTGGTGCTGCAGGGCACTACCTACTGGACGGATTTGTTTGTGCGTCATTTTCTATTCCAAACGGAGCCCGTGCACAGCATCGACTCGGATGATTTGCTTTTCTTTGTGCGCAAAAAGCACGTGAAGAGCTCCTCGCGCCACATGCCAAAATATGAGGTAAGTGCAAGTAAGTCCGAATGGCGTACTCAGCTCATTAATTTGTTCCCTCTTTGCAGACTGAAGTTGAGGTATTTCGCAAGGATTCACGCAAGTTGCCCATTGGGGATCCGGATGTGGACTGGGAAGAGACCGTCTACCTAAACATGGTCATACATCAGTTCGACTACACGTTAACATTGGCCATATGCACTAGAACCTCGCCCAAGGAGCTGCAGGTGCTGCGGCGGCACTCGCAGCGCGTCTATGCCAGTCCCAGCCGCCGAAAGATGGACACCAAGGGCGAGGGCGAGGAGATTACTTACCCACACATATGCTTTATGGTGGACAATTTCGATGAGGTGTTCAGCGATATATTGGTGCGTGATGGTGAAATGGTGTGCGTCGAACTGGTGGCCAATGACAAAGATGGCGCCGTTCAGGGCGTTATTTTTCTCGGCTCCATACGCTACGATGCGCTAAAAAAGGTGTATGATGCCAGAGTGAGTAATAAATTGGGCTTTTATGTTTTCTTTTCCATACTTCCATATTGGTATTTTGCTTGCAGCAATCTAGTCTGAGCTCCAAGGTGGCGCAGCGCATGTCTTTTGGCCTGTTTAGCAGCGGCGCTGGCGTACAGACACGATGCGAATTTGTGCGCATGAAAGGACCACAGGGCAAAGGTCATGCCGAGATGGCAGTGACCAAACCCAAAGGCTCCGGCGTTGAAACGCCTACCAGCGAGCCGGGCTTTTGTGCGACAGACATGTGGGACGAATGGGAAGAGGAGAACGATGATTATTGCACGTACCGACACCAGCGCCGGCTCAGCGATCCCAGCGCCAATCTCAATAATTTCTCACGCTACGGCTGGCGCACCAAGAACACAAACCAGGACATGGTTAGCAGCGGCACCAGCGCCAGTGCCGGCGCCAAGGCGCGCTCCGAAAACGAAGGCCTCGACACGCTGGCCAACGAAGTATCCGAAATCGAGGCAGGCGATTTGCGGGATGGTAATTAACGTTTTTCTTGCTCTATTCTTTTACATGTATATTCGCAATGGTTTCACAGACATATCGTATTTTTTTAATTTATGTTTTGTTTTGCATGTACTCTCAGCTCATTTGTAAAATATTTAACTAAAAATTCCATTATGAATATCGTAAATGTAGTTAATTGCGACTATTTCGAATTTTGCTTTATTTTGTTGCGCTTTTTCTGCCTGCTTTGTTCTGCTTTCCTAACTTTTGTTTATGTTTCCTTGTAAACATGTTGTGGTTCCTAAGATTTTCCTTAAATTAACAAATTTCAAATTAAAATTAACCAGCAATAATGTGTGTATATATATCCAAGGACCAACGAATATATATATCTAAAAAAAATACTTTACTTTGCCGAGAAAGCAGGACAACTATAAACAACAACAGAATATCAAATTTTTTGATTACAACTTCAGTTTGCTTTTCTTTTAAGTATTCTAAATAAAGTGTTAAAAAAAATGGGCAATACATTTAGAATCGAAGTACTATAATATTAGAGCACATTTAAAGACAAAACTAATGAGAAGCAATTCGTTTTTATTATGTTTTTAATTTATACAATAATTCAAAACAAAAGACCAATTTTTATAAAGTAAGGCCTTAGTTTAAATTGTTCAATCTTGAGGACACCCTGGCAGCTGGTAGGGGTCTTCACTATTGTAGATATTCATAAAATACAGCCTATATGTTCATTGTAGCTTCAATGCGAGCTTTTCGCTGGGTTTTTGCTCTTTGAATACCCGTTCGCCATATTTCACATAACACCACCTGCTCCTCGACGCCGAAAACTCCCCACCTCACCCCGACAACCACTTCTAGTGCCCTCGCCTATTAGCGCTATCCTGGTTTTATTTATTTGCTTTTTTTAATTTGTTGGCAAACAATTTTTATTTTATATTTGCTTGAAGACCGAGTTACACTCGGTTGTTGTATGTGTCGTTGTATATGCTTTATAAAAAAATGCAACAAACCGATCTATATCTACTTGTAGATCAGCAACGTCCTGCTTTCTCGGCCTCCGCAGCAAAACTGCATACAAATCCAAATTGTGAAACGCTCAAATTAGCAGCTGGCGAGCCAGACCAAACGCCACTTGCCACAAACTCTCAGCCAGTTGCGACTCAAGCCGGCGAGTCCACGGCCAGTGCTGTCACAGCCGTCACACCGCCGCCGCTCAGTGCGGCCGTTGAGGTGACGGTGGGCAGCGCCGGCTCCGGCGACGATGTGGGCAACAGCAGCACGGGCTGCAATTGCTTTGGTGGCGGCAAGAAGTGCAAGAAACGCTGGACCTCATCCGCGAACAGTGCCAACGACACGCCCGAAATGTCCGAGATATACTGTCCCAGTTGCGAGGATGCGGCTAACGAGACGCCCGCCTGCCTTAGCAAAATGCCGGACAAGCGGCAGACCAGGCTCAAGCCCAAGCCACCCAGCATATTGTGCGTGGAAAGCGAGTTGGTGGTCGGCAAGCGGGGCAGCCTCCGGCTCAGCGATGGCAAACGCAAGGGCAACAACATTACACGCAGCGTATCCTTGAGCGCCGCAGATCGGCGAACGAGTGTGCCAATGCCCAGAAAGGTGACGCCAACGCGTGTGCGCCTGGTCAAAACCAAGGAGCTGGATAAGGGCGAGGATAAGGATAAGGAGAACGATAAGAAATCGTCGAATCAGAAAACAAATAGTGCCAGCAATTTGCTGGCCAAGATGTCACCCAAAAGGCTGCGCAATGCCAAGGCCAGCGACAAAGAAAAGGAAAAGAGTAAGGACAAGGATAAATCCAAAATCGCTGTAAAGTCCAAAACTGGCAGCAGCAACAATAACCATGTCAAGGCTACAACAGCTCCATCCAAAACGGAGGAGTATGAAATTGCGGATGATGCTACTTCCCTAAATGGCGAATCATTGGATGCCGGCACATGTGCAGCTGCTGGCGCCGCCAAAATAGCCATACTCAGCGAAAGCGACAGCAAACTGATGATTAGCGTGCGCGGTCGCGAAGAGCTGCCCGTGGTGGAGGAGCAAGCCCCGACGCCATCGCCATCGCCGCCCGTTATGGCGCCGGCGCAACATTTTGTAAAGTGTTTACGTGTACCTGTGAAATCAGAGAGCCATCCATTGCAGCTGTCATCGGACAGCGCAAACAACGATAATATTGTGGAGCCGGAGTCGGAGCCGGAGCCGGAGCTGGAACAGCAGCCCCTGCTCAATGGCGAGGCGGATGCGGCCAATGGCAACCAAACGGCAGCCAGTAGCGCCACATTGCCTCGCACCGCCAAGCAATCCTACTACAACAAGGTGCTGCATCTCGTGCCCAAGCGTCGCACACCGGACGGCACCAATATCTACTACTGGTGCGATCTTCCCAAGAAGGCGCTCAAAGGTTATTTTATATCCCATACAAATTTGATATTCATAACCCAATCTGCATGTTTCTTCGTACTTGAATCTTGCTGCGATTGCAATCTTTACTAATTTATTTCGTTATTTTTTTGCTTGCAGAACTGGACGATGGCGCCTATAATCCTCTGTGGACCAGTCGTGGCTTTACGCAATCCTTTCACTTCTGGAAGGAGAATCGACGACAACAGTCTACGCCGCTCAACGCATTTCTTACCTATGTCACTCTGCCCTGGTGGAGCATTGCCAAGGGTAACTGCCTTATAATATTAATATTTAGTCTGACTTATCAAATAATATCTGAACCATTTTATTCCTTATGCAGATCTTTTGGATCATCGGGAGACGCCCATACTGACTTTTTAGTATTAGACCCGCTCGATGCTTGTGATTTGCTGCTAATCTATGCTTTAAAGTATTATATATCTCCAATTTATTAGTTCTCAACTTCTGGCAAATCATGTGATCTGTTTTACGTACATTAAACAAATATTTATATATATCTCAGATGGCAGCCAATCTATGGCTGCTCCATTCATTATAGTTTACTTTTGGTTCACCTTGACCAATGCCAACGCCCGCAGCTAAGTTGAGTTTCCTAAGCTATGCCACTTTCTGTTTGACTAGGGCATTATTAGATATACTAACTATATATGCGATATACTTATGTATGTGTGTGTGTAGCATGTTTGTATGTAAATGCAGCGCTGAGCCAACCTACAAATTTATAAACTACTTATATAGATATTATAAATATATACATACACCTACTAAAACGCTGCATTTTGAGGTTATATTAAAGAATTGTTACCAAAAATAAAAACGATATGTATGTAATAATGCGATTTGTAAATTATATGGCAACATTTATACTATATACACATATATATATATTTATATATATATATATGTATATATTTATTAGAAAAGAGCGCAACTGCGAAACGAAATAAAGAATTTGCGTACAATAAGTAGAGAATTTTTATTACAATTGCTATTGTTGAATGAAAACGAAAATTCGAGAAAATCAGATGAAAAGGCAACCTAAAATTTAAGACGCCTGGAACAATATTTTAATTCTTTTGAAAATAATTCGAAATCGGAATATATTTTTATTTTTTGAGTACATTGATTATCGTTCTCTACAAGTTTTTTTTGATTGGAAATTGTTAAAATTAATTTGTTATATTTTATTTATTATTTATATTTATATATTTAACACAAGGAAGACTAAATATTATTGTTATATTAGTTATAAATTTATTGGTTTAGCTTTAATAGCATATCTCAATTTGTAAATGAGGAAAATGGCAGCTTTCTCTTATCCAAGCAGATGCCGTGGAAACTGTTTAATCTCAAGAAGCAAAGTGCACATGCAAATTCATATGCTACTTATATAGTACATACAATCAGAATATATAAAATACATTGGCTCGATGATAACTGAAAGTGCTCGAAATGGGATTCAGTCAGTTTGTGTGCATTGTCGGAAACGGTCGCGTATTTATTTATTCGCTCTGCTGTCGTACAAAATAAGGAAAAAACAAAGATTATAATGTGGCACTCATTGCCAGCGCTTGTCGGCTTCGCTGTAGTCGTCTGTCTTGCGGCAGGCGCAATTAGTCCAGCGGCTGGCTGCCCTCGGACGCCCACACATTTGCCCCACGGCCGACGCACACGCGGCGACAATGGATACAAATTAATTGTAGCTGATGGACCCAACGGCTATGTGCCCGGCAAGGCATACAACTGTAAGTCTTAGGTGGTTCTTGAGTTAAAAAAAGAAAACCGAAATAAAAAGGTTTTGTAATCAGTGCTCGGGTCACGGCCTCGTGACCCCTAAAAACGCACAAGACAAAACGCTGGCGATAAGAGATCACAGCATTCATCACATGTGTGTGTAGATTGAAAGCGTGTGGAAACACACATGGCGGGAGGTTATGCCTTAAACAAATCTGTTATCATGTGTTTCTAATGTAGTTCAAACAATTTCAGTTTATATTGTATTTATGAACAATACTTTTCAATGAACATAGTAAATAGTTTAAATTGCAGCTTTTAGGATACAACAGTAAGACTTTATTAAACGATAAACAATAAATGATAAAAGGTATTTCTCAAAAGAGTGTAATAGTCTTTGTGTGCTTTGGCATTAAGCAAGTACACAATTTCGTAAGACAATTCTAACAAATTCGATTATTTAAATTAACAAAGTTTAATAACCTTTAACTTAAGTTTTATCTACAGTTTGGCATAGATATAACAAGTAAAAGCTCTACGTTATATGCCACAAGAAAACTCCTGTTCCTTGGCTTTGATCTTAAAAAAAAAAAACAAAATGGAACTTAAGATTTATCTATAGTTTAGCATAGATACAAAAAGTTAAGGCTATGTTTAGTTTAATACAAGGAAATTATAATATTCCTTAGACTTGTAATCTAATACATATTTTGTTTTATGTATAACAAAGAAATCTCTGATCTCGTTTTTTAGTTTAGATTAGATAGTATTCAATTAAAAAGCTATGTTTTTGGCACAACGAAACTTGGCTTTGACATCGTTGACGGATGCGATATCTGAGCCGACTCTTTATACAATGTATAAACTAAAATATACTCTAAGTTTGGCATAGATATATATGTTTGTTTGTAAATGTGAAATAACATTGAACTAAGGTTAAGGTAAATCTATAAAGAAACCCAAAAGCTAGAGGTAGTATGGCACAACGCTATTGTTCCTGGCCATGCGTAGTGCGCAGATGATTAAGCAGGCAACCTTGCTTCTTGAAGACGCGCTTGCAATGGGGACAGATGGATCGATACAGATGTATTAGACGATGCTTCTCGTAGCGCGACTTGTTTCTGCTGCTCTCCTCGCACCACTCACAGTAATAAACACAAGAATTGATCTTGGGCATAAAGGCGAACAGCTTCATATAATGTTCAATTGTAGCCGTTAGAGTGATCTTTTTGAAGAACTTAAGATCAATTTGCTGTGCATGCCAGGCATTGATTAAATTTAAAATGCGCTTCAATTCGCAGACATTCAAATTGATCTTAAATTCAGCGTTGACCTCTTCTGTGAACATGAGCAACTCCTTTACTATATTTTGTGCGAGTTGTTTATTAAATCTTGTGGCACTGTGTTTTATTTTCGTTGTATATTTTCGCAGCATTATAACAAATTTAGCTGCCCTTGAACGTAATGCATCGACAAATTCAATGGTTTTTAGTTCCTCATAATTCGCATCCTTTATAATGGTCAGCTGTAATCGAATAAGGGCAAGCATTTAAATATACCAATTTTGTTTATGCATATGCAAGCACTTACCCCAACTGCTCTAAGTAGATATAAATCATTGCGCAGCTCTTTGGGATCCGGATTTGTTTTAATTTCAGTTGCCTTCTGCTGCTTCAGTGCCTGCTTCTGTTCATGTTCGCTCACCTCGCCGTCACTGCGCTCCAGCTCGCCAGGCTCAGCCAATTGCAACAAACTATCTGCATTGGTTAGGGTTTTCAAGTCGCACTGCAAAAAAATAAATGGTAAAATTGTATGCTGCGAAATAAGCGTAGCTCGGGGATTACCTGTAGAAACTCAACTACGCTGTCGGATAGGTTGAAGCTCAGCGAGCCACAGTCCGACGTACTGTGATCGATTTTTGTTCGTTTTGCCTCGACTGAAACTTTTGAAGAGTCCGTAATATGCTTTGCAGCTTGCTTTCGTTTGTTTGCGTTTGTTTCTGGTTTAAGTGGTTCCCTTTTAAATGTCTGCAGTCGACTGCTTTTTGTGCTGGGCACTGGATATGAGGGTCGCCGGATTGGCATTTTAGACGAAATTGTCGTGTCTCTATCGACTGCGACTGAAGATCTTCGCTTAACAGCCGTTTTCTTGGCGTTATTGTTGCGTTGGGCTTGTGAAGATCCAAGCATTGGTCCTTTCTGTTGTGTTTGTGGGTTTATTTTTGTTAACTGACTGTTGTGCACATCATTAATATTAAGCTTAGGCAATATCTCGATTTTGTTTATTACAATTGGATCTGATCTGCTAGTCTTTGGCTTTTCTGAATTCAGGTTAGCAGGTGTGTGCACGTTCTTAGCTGGCATCTTGGTTGTATGTTTAGCCAAGTCAGCTGCATTTGGTTTTGTTTCTGCTAAACTCTTTCCTTTTCTATCATTCAGTATAATTAAAAATTTTCTCTCATCGGCCTTAATCTCCTGTACTAAAGCTTGGACTGATTGGTTTGGATTGGAATTTAGTCGAGACTTTAGATTGATTGGAGCTGGGTCTTTGATTTGCTCCACAGATTTTTTCGCTGCGCCGCTGCTTGAGTTTTTTATTGAGGGTTTTGAAGATAACGTCGCAACTACAGCAGCATTCTCCTTGTCTTGTTTTTGCGAAGACGTATTTGGTTCAAGTTTTGTTTTTAACTGTACATTCTCTGTGCCTTTTACTATATCGTGTTTATCATCGGCTTTAATCTTCTTTACTAAAGCACTGTTTGGATTGGACTTTGGATTAATTAAAGCCGAGTCCTTTGCAATAGGTCCTCTAAACTCTGACACTGTTAATATGACTTCAACTGTGCTGCTGCCTGTGGTATTTTTGATAAGCTTTGAATTCTCTCCGCCTTGCGTATTTAGTTTAGGCTTTATTTTAAGTTTATCCTCAATTTTTGTGGGCGATAGCTTAGCTCCGGGCTCCGTTGGTCGCATTTGCTTTTGCTGTGACATATTGCTTCTTAAAAGATCTTCAATAAGAGTTTCCACGTTGGCTGGCTTGACAGGCACGTGCTGCAACTTACGCGAATCGTTTTCAAGCGAGCGCACTATCCGCTTTTTGATATTATTCAAGCGCTGCTGTTGCTGCCGCTTGCGTATGGAGCGTGCAATCGCATAGCTCTTGTAATCACAAGTGGACTTGTACTTGGCGGATTTTAGTTTTGTCGTTTCCAGGTTGGAGCGTCGGGCACTCTTCGAGTTGTGCTCTTCGAGCTGCGTGTGCGTGTTGTTTACTTTGCAGTCTGTGGTTTTAGGAGACGCCGCGGTTGTGTCCACTGGAATCCGTTTGTTCACCAAATGCTCAGTTTTGGGCTGTTCTTTGTGCTGCTCATCAATATATGGCAAGGTAGCAGGTTGCACTTCCGAGCCTTGTTCCGTTTCATCTTCCGCCTGTGGTTGTGTTGTGTCAGGAACTACCTTATCTTTAGTAGCTGGATCAGGCTCTGCCAATAAGGCCTCCACTTCGGCTAGTATGTCCCTAGTTTCAGCATCCAACGGCAACGGCATACATTTGTCTACTGCAGTAAGATATTTATAACTAGGGAGTAATAATCAAGGCGCCATTGGACTCACCTTCTGCCCGCCACTGCAGCACAGTTGCATTCTTGTTTATAGTTTTGGTTCTTCTGTAGTCCAATTCGGACAACGCTTTACAAATATTCTGATTTGTTGGTTCGGTTTCCATGTTGCAGCTGTTGCCGCGCTCCAAGCAGGTAGCTTCAGCTGCAGCTGCAGCATCAGCTGGCAGCCCGGAATCGCTGCTGTTGCTGCTGAGATTTGCCTGTGTTTGCGCATCTTCCTGTGCCATAAGCTCCTCTACGGTGTATACATTGTGCGGCTTGGTGAAGCCAAGCAGATTGTTGTGCATCCATTGCAAATGATGCAGAAATTCCGACAGATTTGTGTAAATGTCGCAACAGAAATGACAAAATATGCCAATCATATTATCCTTGGTTGACACGATCACATCGCCGCACTTTTCGAAATTAACACAGTCATCCGATAGCAAATTGAGGAAAGAACTCATTTTTATAAAACGCTGTTTTTGGCAAAATTTAATTCAAAGCAGCAACTGAAAAACAAACGAACGTAAAAAACGCGGGACGCTCTACGAACTAGCACGAAAGGCGCTGTGTTTAGCCATCGATAACACGCATAGTTGTAATCGAGCACGAATGGCGCTGTGTTTAGCTATCGATAGCCTGCACAGCTGTAATTGGCAGTTGAATAATCGAAACTCAAATGCATAATCGATGCTTTTTGTTTAAAGTATCGAGTAGTAGAGTAAAAAATCATTTGAATTTTAACGGACAATCATTATGCTCTATTTCAAGTGCTGTTGCTTGGCTCGCGCACTCACACAAAAATTCAGCACTTTACGCATTTCACTATCGCTGCTGGCACCAGACGCTCTGGTCGACCCCAGGTGGATACTCCACGTCGTGTTGGCCGATTCCAGCTCTTCAGCGATTCACTCACCAAATTCAACGATCGCTGCGTAAACACCGTGTCCGAAGCGGATGATTTGCCCAAGACTGAGGTACAGGTCATGTGGGTGGCACCCGAGGCCGGTTCAGGCTGTGTCTCGCTTTCCGCCATGGTATACGAGGGTCCACGCGCTTGGTTTGCGGATGACGGCCAGCTCACCCAGGTTATATGTGAGCACAAGCCAACCGCAGCAGCCACGCAAAAGGAGTGCTGCGCCTGTGATGAGGCCAAATACAGCGTAAGTACGAGCCAGCTTTTATGGAATAGTTTACTAAATGCATGTGCAGTTTGTTTTCGAGGGCATCTGGTCGAATGAGACACATCCCAAGGATTACCCCTTTGCCATCTGGCTGACGCATTTCTCTGATGTGATTGGCGCTTCGCACGAAGCAAACTTTTCCTTCTGGGGCGAGCATCATATTGCCACCGATGGCTTCCGCTCCCTAGCCGAATGGGGTTCACCCACAGCTTTGGAGACGGAACTACGTGCGCAGGGCCCAAAATTGCGTACGCTCATTAAAGCTGCTGGCCTTTGGTATCCAAATGTCAACCAGAACACTTCATCTAAATTCCGTGTTGATCGTAAACATCCCAAGATTTCATTGGTTTCCATGTTTGGCCCGTCACCCGACTGGGTGGTTGGCATTAGTGGGGTTGATCTATGTACGGCCGACTGCAGTTGGAAGGAATCCATGGACTTTGATCTGTATCCATGGGATGCCGGCACTGACAGCGGCATCACGTATATGGTGAGAAGCTGTTGCCATAGACGTGGTGATCTTCAACTAATTCCTTGATTGTTTAGTCCCCAAATTCAGAGACGCAGCCACGCGAACGCATGTATAAGATTACCACCATGTATCCGGAAGATCCACGTGCGCCGTTCTACAATCCGCAGAGTCAGCAGATGACACCGCTGGCCAAGCTGTATTTGCGTCGCGAGAAGATCATTTCACGCAATTGTGACGATGACTTTTTGCAAGCTCTACAATTGGAGGTATCCGATGATGCAGAGGAGCAGGATACACGCGGTAAGCTAGTGCACAATTTCCAATCATCATCCTAGTTAATTTGCATCTTCCGCCATAGCCGAATGCCGCGTCAGCAATTACAACGCCTGGAGTCCCTGCTCTGTCAGTTGCGGCAAGGGCATACGCATGCGCAGCCGTCAGTATCTAAATCCCCAGCAGGCGCAGCAGGGCCAATGCACGCGCCAGCTGGTGTCCAAGGAGATGTGTGTGGCGGCTGTGCCCGAGTGTGCCAATGGCTCGGCTGGCCAAGATCGTGACGAGGATGAGGGCGAAAATATGGCCAACTCGCAATCGCTTGTCAGCGATAACGGCGAAGGCGCCGGTCTCTGCAAGACCTCACCCTGGAGCGTCTGGTCGGAGTGCTCTGCTAGCTGCGGCATAGGCATCACCATGCGTACGCGCACATTTGTTAGCCCGCTGGGCCGCAAACGCTGTCCACACATCACAATTGTGGAGAAGAACAAGTGCATGCGGCCGGATTGCACTTATGAGCAGGTGGAACTGCCGGATCCTGATTGTCCCACCACACAGTGGAGTGACTGGAGTCCGTGTTCCGGCACATGCGGACACGGTAGCTCAATACGTAAACGTTTGCTGGTGCTGGAGGATGGACCCATTAAGGACAACTGCACAGCGCGCATGGAGCTGCATCAGCAACGGGAGTGCCAACACGCTCTAGACTGTAGCATCAATATGGAACTGGCCAAGGACATTTGCGTGCAGGAGCCAGACAGCGGGCCCTGCCGCGGCAACTATCAGCGCTATGCCTACAATGCCCAGGCCAATCGCTGTGAATCCTTTATCTACGGCGGCTGTCGCGGCAATCGCAATAACTTCCTCACCGAGAGCGACTGCCTGCACACCTGCAACAAGATACGCGCCGAGGGCACTGCCAGTGCTTATTCTCGTGGGGAGATCAACTTGCCCAAGGCCTGCGTCATGTCCGAGTGGTCGAACTGGTCGCCCTGCAGCGTTACCTGCGGCAATGGCTACTCCGAGGGCCGACGCTATGTGGTTAGCGAGCCACAGCGTGGCGGCCAGCCGTGTCCCAAGCGTCTTGTCAAGCAACGCTCGTGCACCATGCCAGCCTGCTAAGCATTCCGCTGGACACCATTACCTTTGCCTTTTCTATTACATTTTATTACTATTTCGAATAAAGTGAACAACTCTTTTAATTCGTAATAAACTCTTTTTGCTTTAATTGTTTTTCTTACTAATAACAACTTGACATAATTAAAAGCCCCACGTTTGTCATTTATATGTGCTTATATAACATTAACTATACCAAAGCAAAGAAAATAAACACAGTGTTTATATTGTCTTTGACCGAAGGGTATACTCGATTCGTAAGGAGCTTGGCCTCTGATCTTATTACCCACTATTCAAATGATTTAATTTTGAATTAACTATTTACGTAAATTTTCAGATAGAAAACAACTTTAGAAACTTAAAAAATTAATGAACTTAACCTTAACTCAGTCTTTTGTATATTTATTCAGCTATGGTATTCACAACATTCTAGGCATTTGCAGAAAATTTGTATGAGTAAATCTTGAATCGCTTAAAAGGTATTTTCCGAGTCGACAATTGTGCATATTCTTATCCATTTGCAAGTTACATACTCATATCTACATTACTTTCCGCTTAGCCAAGCAATTATAGTTTCAATTGAATACTGCCAACCGGCTGTCGAATTCCAGCTGAAGAGGTCACTTTCACTGAGCACCGAAAGTGTTGCAGCCAAATATGTGTATGTTAAAGAGACGCTTTCCCGGCGACAAACGCAACCAGTTGGACGTTGTTTAGTTTAGTTAGTGCTAGCAACTTGTCGAGTGCGTCTCGTAGAGCCATGGATAAGTGCCAGGTCAGATTTCCCTATGACATTCGCGATGTGGACGCTGCCACCAATGCCGAACTATTGGAGTACTTTACAGGTGGGTGGTGCCTTGAATTTCCTTTACTGGAGTTAACCTATGGCCCCCGAACGGTAGGTGAGCGCACGGGCTTTGTGCAAGTTGGACCCGAGGGTTATTTCTTTCCGCACAAGTACAAAGTCCAGGCGGAGCTTTATTACAACTTTGAGGCGCGTCCCGATGATGTCTGGATAACAACTGTGCCGCGCTCGGGCACCACCTGGACACAGGAGCTAATCTGGTTGCTGGCCAATGGCTTGGATTTCGAGAAGGCGCAGCAACGCCCGCTCACTGAACGTTTTCCCTTTCTGGAGTGAGTTTTACATTGGAAAAGTGTTGCATCTTTTGACTGTCTGTGTACTCCGCCGCCAGATTTCCCTTGTTTGTGCATGATGCTGTCAAAGCAGAGCTTCTGGCTGAGAACAGACACTCTCCGGCGGCTATGGAATTCATTGAATACATTTCGCGGCCCGGCTATGAAACGCTGGGCGAGCTGCCACGCGACCGGCGACGTTTTATTAAAACTCATTTTCCCTTCTCATTGATGCCGCCGAGTGTTCTAGAGAATAAATGCAAGGCAAGTGATTCACTTAATAAGAAGCAAAGCCATTTTCTTCATACCATCCCCTTTCAGATTATTTATGTGGCGCGCAATCCCAAAGATGTGGCCGTGTCTTACTATCATCTGAACCGTTTGTTTCGCACGCAGGGATATATTGGGGATTTTGAGCGCTATTGGCGCTATTTCCAGCAAGGATTAAGTATGTCAACAGCAATTACAATCCTTTGCATACATTTAATCGACTTGCAGATCCCTGGCTGCCTTATTACAGTCACGTGAAGGAGGCCAAACAGCATAGTCAACTGCCAAATGTGCTCTACCTTAACTATGAGGACATGCTGGTGGATTTGCCGGGCACTGTAATGAGCATAGGAAAGTTTTTAGATTGCGTGCCCGATGCTGTGGGATTGGAGAAATTACTCACTCATTTAAGCATTCAAAACTTTCGCGAAAATAAATCGGTTAACATGCACGAAATGGCAGCCGTTGGCATACTGAAGAAGGGCGAGGCCGGATTTGTGCGTAAAGGTGGCAAGGATATCACAGCCAAGCAGCATGATCAAAAAGAATTTGTAGATAATCCAAATCTGTTAAAGCTTGCTAACGATTGGATACAACAAAATATTGAATGTATTAAAACGATATAAAATAAAACGGTTAAATAGTTATCGATCGAGTTCGATACTTTTCGCGAGCTGTTCCTCAAGGCTGGTATGCAGTCCAAACATAATAATTTACACGATATTGAGTTTTTGATCAATGAAATGGCATTGATACACAGAAATTTAATACTTTTATTAGGTGTATATGCATTAGTATGCTATGCTTGGTTTTTTGGACGCATTTTACAGGAAAATATGTTTTTGCCCACATGCAACGTGAACACCGTACTAGCTTTTGTTTAAAACAGCTGTTGGGCTGGCCGAAGAAATGGGCGCAATGTTTTTAATTAAAAGATATTACAGCAGCGTCCAGCGCATCGCTCAAATAGCTAATGCTAGCAAGCCAGGTGATACGCTGCAGGTCCAGGTATAAAAACAAGAGTTATGCCAGGTAAAAGTCGCTTTACATAAGCTTCACTTTAGGGCTGGATAAAAAATGTGCGGCGGCTAAAGAACAACATATTCCTGGACATCAATGATGGTTCCACGAGCGACAAATTTCAACTTGTTGTGCCACGGAACCTGGATACACAACAACTGACACTGGGCAGCGTAGTCAGCGCCGTGGGTCGTGTCCAGTTGGCGCCCAATGGACACTACGAATTGCACGCTGATGAAGTGAAGGCACTGGGTAAGTACGTCGATTATATAATGCACACGGCTGATATTTGCATTCCCACAGCGGAGGGTCATGTGCAGAGCGGATATCCCTTCTCTCCCAAGCAGAAACATCCACCGGAGTATGTGCGGGAACATTTGCATTTGCGTTCCCGCGTCGACTACATTGCCGCCCAGATGCGCGTCAGGCATAAGGCACAGAAGGCCATACACGACTACATGGACGAGCTTAATTTTGTGCAGATTAACACGCCCATCTTGACCACTAACGATTGCGAGGGTGCTGGCGAGGTTTGAAGCAAGCAATTCATAAATGAAATCTATGGACTATTCACTTTACTCTCTTGTAGGTTTTTCGCGTGCAACCCGATTCGGATCGACTGCTTAAACAAATGGCGCGGCCCAATGTGCCCCCGGAGCAGAGTTATTTCGATCAGAAGGTATTTTTGAGCGTCTCCGGTCAACTGCATCTGGAGGCCATGTCCTATGGCCTCGGCAACACGTACACCTTTGCGCCCGCCTTTCGCGCAGAAAATTCAAAATCTCCGTTGCATTTAGCAGAGTTTTACATGTTCGAGGCGGAACTGGTGCATATGGAGCAGCTGGATACGCTGGCGGCATTCATAGAACGTATGCTCAAAGACATTACCAATCGCCTGCTTGACAGTAGTGCGTCCGATTTGCATTTTTGCCAGCACAATGCCAATGCTAGCTCAGATATGGCCTGGTTGCAAGCGCCTTGGAAAATTCTTAGCTATGACGAGGCCATGGTGCTGGTTGTGGCCAACAGCGATAAGTTAAAGAGTGCTGTTAGCCCGGACGAGGGCTTTAGCAAGGAGCAGGAGCTATTTCTTGTGGCACACTGTGGTGCGCCCGTCTTTGTGCTAAATTGGCCCACGCAACAGAAACCTTTCTATATGAAGATCTCACGCAGCGATCCGCAACGTGTTCATGCTCTGGATTTGCTGATGCCCTCGGTGGGCGAGCTGTGCGGCGGCAGCCTACGTGAGTGCGATGCTGAGCTCCTTGCCGCGCATCCACAATTGCCCAAGGATCTGGCCTGGTATGTGGACCTGCGAAAGTACGGCGGCTTGCCTACCGGCGGCTTTGGCATGGGCTTTGAGCGTTATCTACAACTGCTGACGGGCGTCAAGAACATAAGGGATGTAATACCCTATCCACGCTATCCGCACAGCTGTAAAATGTAGCCGAAAAACTATATTTTCTTTTTGTTTTGTATAAATTGTTATTGGATTTACAAAACTCGAGCTACAAAAAACGAATAATTAATTTGTAAGCGCGCTGGTTCGAGATTCCAATTTGGAAGCAGGGCTCGCTACTTGGACTAGGCTCTCCCAGATTTGTGTATGTCAACTGGTCAACCAAATAAACATCAGCACAGGGAAATGCTGTTCTGTATCCGTTTTGAATTACAATTGTCCCAACATCGGCTTGCGTCCGGGCCATGCCTCCTTGGCATATTTCTTCTTTTGCGGACACATGGAGTCGCCCTCGCCACTTGTTTCATGTACATCATCCACAAAACGACGCACTGCGAATGAAGAAGAGACAAATATATAAAATCCGACTGGATTTCGCCGATTTGTTGTACGCACCATTTGCATTGGCTATGGCCAACTTTTGTGCTATGGATGAGCTAGCCACGAGCGGCTCCTCAAAAATGGGCGTTACATCTGGTGCCGGATTGGGCAACATTATGCCCAACTTGGAGCCTATGCCCAGCGGTGATATGGGTTCAAATTCACTGTTGCCCTTGTGTTCATAGCCGCTGGCTGGCAATCCCTGATACAAAGAATTGACGGGTGAGTGGGCAGCAGATTGTGGCGTTACTGCCATCTGCTGCTGCTGTTGTTGTTGCTGCTGTTGTTGCTGCTGCTGCTGCTGTTTCATCTCAACTATGCTCTGCTGGAACATCTGATGGCTGGCGGCGAATGCGCTAGCAACATGTGCATTGGCGGCGCTGCTGCCCGTGTGTAAGCCCATGTGATTAGTCTCGTACCGTGAACGTTTCGCTGGCACCACTGTTGTCTGCACCAAATTACGAAAACGTCCTACATTGGGATCGACGTCTTCCGGATTTATGATTATCTCCTCATCGTTGAATGTGACATTGCGTCGCTTGCGTCCCTGTTTTAATGCGTTCTGTTTGCGCAGATTGTTATCGTCGGCAATGCCCAGCATGGAGATGCGACGATTGTGCGCCGTATTATACTCCGTCAGATTCTGTAGAAAAGGATAATAGAGCTTGTATAATACTACATATTTTTGCTGTATTCACGCACATCTAATTCCGTTTGGCTCTCAGGCAGCCCCAGCAAAGCGCCGTCGCTGGTCTCGCTGAGCGGCAGATCCTCCATAATGTTGCTGTGCTGACCACCCGCCGAGGGCCGCTCACGTAGTATATAGTTCCGTGTGGAGGCACCGAAGTGAAACGTGCTGTTGATCTGTAGCTGTGTGGGCTTGTGAGCCTCGAGACGCAATGTGCCAATAAATGTGCCGTGGGCTGCAATGGAAACCATATTGAATAGCCGAATGAAAGGATACTTTTTGTTTGCCTATCCTACTGGAGCCAAGATCGACGAGGTAGGCAATGTTGAGGTGTTTGTGGTAAACAAATGCCGCATGCACACGGGAGCAGGAGGCGTGGTCTATGCAAAAGTCATTCATTTGGCTATTGCGGCCAAACAAATAGCAACGCTTCTCATCCACCATTAGCTTTTGCACCAGTTTGTCATCCTTAAGCACATCCAAATGCAGCCCAGTAGGCGGTTTGCCAGCCCAACTGGGTATATCATAACTGTTGGCCATTCAATCGAGCTCCAAATTTCAAAGACACGGAATAAATCGTTAAGAGCTTCTATTATATGGTGTGTACACAATTTGTGTACCGGCGGCAATAATGAATGCACTAAAAAATACCATGGCCGTGGTGAATGGCAAATATGGTTCAGAGTTAAGCAAGTTGGCATGTTTATTCCATTATTGATAAACAATGAGCACAGACTATATAAACAATAATTATATAGAAAGTGCGCGAGTGTATTTAAAAGTAACTGATCCCAGTACAATTTTCATAAAATGCTCCCTCTGCAGCACAGCTGGATTGATCGACTGGACACTGTTTCTCAGGCACTTGACAGCCGAACATACAGTGGGTCCCTGCCTGGAGAAGGGCTCTCTAGAGCTGGATGAAGAGATTCAGGCTGAGGTTGAGCTGGAGCTGCAAAATCTGAGTAAAATAGGGAGCCAAGATGTCGACGAAGTTACAGACTCAGAGGCAGACATAGACGACCATGTTTCAGATGAAACGCACTTGACTGCCGAGCCAGAAGTGGACGACAATGACACGAGGGTACAAGCCGATCTAACTCAGGTAAATAACTTATTTCAACAAACATTAAGTTGAGGTCAACTTTGCGTCATATTGCAGAATGATGTGTTCAATAGGCCCAATCAGCCCTTCTACAGCATGCTGCATACCAAGCCCGAGCTAATGTTTGGCTTTATAGATCTGATTCGCCAAAACGAATATCTTTGGCGCGAGGAGTACAAAAACGGGGACTTTGCGGCTGAGAGATTGGAGAGCGCCCAACAGATAAGTAAAGTGCTGGAGGAATGTTTTAATGTGACTCTCAAGGCACGGGTCATCAGTCATAGCGTCTGCAGGCTACTTAAATGGTTTCAAAGGCAGTATGCGTTGTGTACGAGCAACAGGGGCTTTCGATGCCGTCATCAGTCGTATTACGACCAGCTGCTCCAGTTTGTGCCTACACACAATATCCACGTTGTGCACTGCGATGAGTGCAAACGGAAATTTTACAATGAAGAGCAATTGAGACGCCACAAATACCGTGCACACGGCGGCCGCATACCGTATGTCTGTGATGTGTGCAGCGTGGGTTTTTCGCATGCCTCTAAGTTGCGCATGCACCGGGCTCGACACCATGAGAAGCCAAAGCGCTGGCAGTGTACTTTATGCAGCTACTGTGCTCCAAACAAATGGGATCTAAGCGTACATCTGCCTACTCACAGTGGCGAACGCAATTACACATGCGAACTCTGTGGTGTTTCAACCAAATCGAGCTCATCGTTAGCTGTGCATCGACGCACGCATTCCGTAGTTAAAATTAATTGCCCCTACTGTCCAAAGAAATACCGTGAGAATTATTTGGTTAATTGTCACATTAAAAAGATGCATGCAGCAGAGCTTGAACAGGAATAGGAATTGGAACTGATAGACTGCCAAGTACATGAGGCCATTGGCGACACAACTTAGAAATTGTACTAAATGAAATAAATAACTAAATGAATATATCAATGTTTTCAGCTCTGCATTTGCATAACAAATAATAATAAATAAGACGAGAAACTTATCGATAACGCGTTATCATGTACCACTTTGCCATTCACACAAAATGCATGTATGCAGCCCTGCAGCGACGGCGTCACATTGTTAATGCTTTTCTAATGTCTGCGCTTCTAGCACGGCTAGAGAAACAATAATTTCGCGTTAGTTCGCGAGAAAAAAATAAATATCAAATAATAAGTGTAATATTTGTTTATATGCTCTAAATAAAGGAACAATCGCAGCCTACGCCTTACGTATAAGCGCCTTAAATGTGCCAATATGGCGCACAAACGAGTGAAAACAGAGGACATGGAAGTGAATTACAAATTTGCGTGTCGCTGTTGCCTCAAATCCGAGGCGGAATTCTTTAAGCTGGACTCACTAATCGAGTGTGGCATAAGCGAGCATGACGCGTCCTCTACTAAAATACCCCTGATACGCTTACTATTATTCTGCATGCGCACTGAAAATCAGCCCGAGCTGCCGCAATACATATGCGTCGAGTGTAGTAAAAGTTTGCAAATCGCATACTATTTCATACAGAACGGCTTGCGCGCACATGAAATACTCTGTCGCAAGCTGTGCCCTGGGAAGCTAAAGACAACAACTCGTTCGAACGGACAACTTGCATCGCTATGGACCGAGGTGTGTAGCGGGGCGTGTGCATGCGGTGTTATATTGGGGTGCTTTGTTTAATATGTTGTTTGCTTGCAGCCAAATGGCAGAGATGACGCGTCGCTGCCCAGGCTCTGGGAGCAGAAACCTCTAAAGCCCGATGTACGACACGAATGCAAAGTATGCGGTGCGATTGTGTACAATCGCATGGAGCTCAAACAGCACATACGCATGCACACAGGTAAACTTCATTGACTCAGTTTCAGCTTAAGGATTTGTTTATGTCCTTATACAGGGTGATTTTGTCTCAGAGACATGTTCAACCCTATATAGTATATATATTCGCGATCGGCATCGACAGCCGATTTGATATGTCCGTTTCTCTCAGTCTTATTGAAAGTACATGTGTCAATGTTGGTCGGATCGTATAACTATATCATATACCTCTAATAGGAACAATCGGTGAAAACTACGTTTTTATATGAAAAACTTTCATGTTTCTTAAGGTGTATCAACCAAAATCTGCCATTAGAAGCTTTACTATGCTCGGATTATTTAGGCAATCTTATTAAGATCAGATAAATATATCATACAGCTCGCACAGCAAAAATCGGACAAACATTATGTTTTTATATTATATATAATTTTTTTTTTCTTTTTTGTCTTATGCCATTTAAAATTCGTAATTGGTAATGAATATCGTTCTGCTTAAGGCTGAAATTCATTTAAAACTAATTTGCAATTTGTTTTTTTCTCTACCCGCACACACACACAGAGTCATCGCAACATCAGTGCAAATTGTGCAACTTTGTCACGCTCAAGCATCGCCAGCTGCCGGAGCATTATCGCAAGGCACACGGCTTGACAGCTGCCCAAATTGAGCAACAGATCAAAATCAGACGGTCTATGCAGGCGGCTGCAACAACTGCAGCGACATCAAACGCAATAGAAACTCCTTCAGACGATGGTCAGGTGAAGGTGTGCACACTGGAGGACATGGAGCTGCTGATACCCACTGTGCTGACGCCAGAGGATTTTACGCATCCACAACTGGATGCGGATCAGTTGCGTGATATTGAGCAGCAATTGGCGAACGCGCTGCCCGTCCCACAGTCCAATTTAGCTGGCATACCAGCTGAGCCGACGATAGAAGCTGGCGGTAACGCCAATGTTAGCATCGGTGCCGAGTTTCTGGTCATGCCCGATGGCTCTTTGCAGCAAGTAAATGATGCCGGTGTGGTTTTCGAATACATTGATGATAGCAAAAACACCAATACGACAACCAATATGACATTGCAGAGTCTTTTGGGCGATTCCAAGACTGATTTATCCTATAATGCCATGGATATCGATCTGAGTCATATGGTTGTCGACAATGCGCCGCCACAGATAACAGGTGTGTGTTCTTATGACTGCGAGCTCGTTTCTTATTTATTGTCAACTTATTTATACTCTATATATTTATAGTTAAGTCAAAACCGCGCCCGGCACCTGCGTCTACTGGTGCCCTGAAACACAAATGCAAACTGTGCCCCAAGGCATTTCCAACGGTGGCACGTCTGAAATCTCATCAATTAACGCATAGTCGTGAGTAGTTTGTGGCACTTAAGTTCCGATATGTTCGTTTTCTCAACAACTATGCGTTTTTCAGATTTGCCGAAATTCTATTGTGATCAGTGCTCCTATTATTCGCTGCGTAGCGCCGATCTCATCCAGCACTATACGACAGAGCACAAATCTTGCATTAGCGAGAGTCGTTCAAATCATTTGGATAAGGCACAGCTCACTGAGCCGGCGGACAGAAGTCGCATATATTCATGCGATATGTGTTTGTTTGAGGCACCCAGCAGTGGGCAGTTACGTGTACACTATAGCGAAAAGCATCTGATAGTGCCCAGTGAGGTACAGCTGCGCCCCAACTGGGCGTATGAGTCAAAGGTTAGGAACGCCAGCTCAACGCTAACCAGTGGCAATAGTACTGCAGCCCAGTTAGATATTCCACTGGGTATCAAATGTATGTTTTATAAGTATGAAATGTATTTAGTATCATATAATATTAATATTGACAAGCTGCTTTGCATATATTCAGATCCACCCATGACATCTGCGACAGGAACAGCGACAAGTGCGCCAACAGCTACCATACAGCAGCCGCCGCAGGCAACAACAACAACTGTGGTTACGCAAAGTGGTGACATTAATGTTGTGGTGGATGCCACATCATTGTTCTATGCCGCGGGCCAGTTACCAGCAGCTGGTGCTCCAACAACAGGAGCTACAGATTCAGAAACATTTGCAATATTCCCAGAGCAATCTTTTGCCAACAGCTTAACAACGTCAACAATAACGGGGGAGACAAACGGTGTGGCACCTGCCACGGTAACTTCAAATCCAAACACCAGCATATTTGGCGATATGCAGGATTTTATAGATAACACTGATGTGGCGGCCATATGCACCATACCCGCCGATGATATGCCAGTGGTCGACGGCGATGATATTGTTATTGATAACAATAATATAAGCCTGGATTTTGATGCAGAAAACTTATTCGAAGACTTTGAGGACGTGGAAGTGGGCGAAGAGGATGACGATGATGAGGATGATGCTGAAAATGATGATGAGAATGATAACAACGATGCGGCAGCCGATCAAAATCTGTTGCTAACCAGCGATGATGACGATGTGGATGACTTTGATGACGAACAATCGAAGCATTTGCAGAAACCATATTGCATCTATTGTAATAAAAAGTTTACCAGCCAATATAAGTTCGAGAATCATATGTTTGTGCATCGCGGTAAGTGCGTAATGCCCGTTGCTCAATAAGTTATTTATTTAATATTGTTTCTTTTCAGGTTTGGCACCCTATCGCTGTGAACTATGCACTAATCTGTACAATATGAAACGCCTACTCATACGGCATTATAAAACGGTGCACAAACGCATGCCCACTCGTGACATGGTGCAAGCTAAGGGCGACAAGGTGTCCGTGCCGCGAACAACCATTGAAAAGATAAACGTGTATGTTGACAAACGTAAGTAAACGAAAGAATAATTAAAAAGTATATAAATAACTTTCAAAGTACATTAAAGCTTCCGCAAAGCGAAAAGCCTTAAGACATATTAAAGTGTAATAAATTGTGTTGAAGAGCTTTACGCAGAAAACATAAAATTAATTGCATTTTAAGAACTTGTATGAATTATAGTTATGTATATAATTGTTCTTTTATAGCACCCACGCTAATGTGTGCCAAGTGTCCCTTTGAGTGCGAACAGGAGGGTGAAATGCGTAAGCATCTAAATGCACATCACGGCATCAATGATGGTGGTAAGTAAATTTAAAAATATAGTTACATATGCATATAAAAATCAACATTATTGTTCCATTTAAATGCTCACAGTTTCTGTGCATGCCAACGAGGTGTTTATCATACGCAGTAAGTTAAGCCTTTAAATGTAATCCCTTTGAATATTTTACTTAACCAATATGTATAACCATTCTACTTAGAACTCCCCTATGACTGTCCACGCTGCATTCGCTCATTTGCGGCCAAGCGCACGCTGACACGACATTTGCAACGTAGCCATTTAGTGGACACAATCATTGAGATGCAGGCGCCTCAATTGACAACTAGTTCGGCATCCACAACAACCACGCCAACGGCTACAACCACATTGCCGTTGAACGCTAGTGATGGCAATAAAACAACAGCAACAATGGCACAACAGGATTCCAACTTGTTGGCGCAGCATGACGCTGGCAATGTCGATGTCGACGTCGATGGCGATGGCGATGGAAAATGCGGTAAGAGGGTCAATAGCCTAGCAACAATGAATTCAAACTCAAATTCCACATATGCCCAACACATGCCGCAACAACAACAACAACAAATACAACAACAAAATGTTTCAAATGCCAATTTTAAAATGCCATATAACGACGCTGATGCGCAATGATCCTTGTGTACCGTCGTTAGACAGGGACATAGGATTCAAAACGGAAATATTAGACACAGATTTAAAAGTCGAAGCGACAACTACAATGGCATCACAAGAAAAAAATGCAGCAATAACTGAAACGACAGCAGCAGAAACAGAAGTTGCAACAATAGCAAAGACAGAAGCCACAGAAGATGCAGCAACAAAAACTAAAGCAATATCAACGACAACATCAGGAGCAGCTGCAGCATCGACAACAACCACAACAACTGCAGGCTCAACACTCTTTACAACGCCCACGCCATTTGACTATGATTTTGACTTTATTGGCAGTGGTGCGCATGCCGCGTCTATTAAGAACAACAACGACAGCTTCAACATTGCACCCAGTCCCAGTCATCTATTGAATGGCAGCGACAAGCTACTGACCGCTGCGTTGGAGCCATCGCCAATTAAAGATTTACGTTCGCGCTTACCGTGCACACCCATATTTGTGTGCAAGCAATGCAATCAGACATTCGATGAGCTTGGCAAGCTGTTGCAGCACGAATTGGAGCAACATTCCAGCAGCATTGTATCGCCGCGCGTCAGTCACCAGCATCAGTGCAAGATCTGTAAAACGACCTACCGCACCGTCACGCTACTAAATTACCATATGAAACGGCATGCGCCGGCCAAAGTTCCATGCCAACAATGCCCCAAGGAGTTTTTGAATAGCCCAGAATTGGATCAGCACATGCAGTCAGATCATAGCGCTAATACAACGACACCACTGAAATGCGGCGTAGATGGTTGCGAAAAGACATTTAACTACAAACATCATTTGAAACGGCATCAGACAGCCTCTCATACGCCGGTGCACTATATCTGTCCGGAGTGTGGACGCGACATGTTGACTAGTCTGCATCTAAGGAATCACATGTCGATCCACAAGGGCACACATTCTTACAAGTGTCCCAAATGCGTTCGCACCTATATGCGACGCAAACCGTAAGTCTATTCAGAATCTTTTGAATGTGCCATGTACGTTAAATTGTATTTTTTTGGTTTTAGTTTTCGAAGACATGCTTTACGTGAGCACAAATGGGAGCTGACTGAGGAGGAAATAGACAAAATATATAGCATAAACGATACACCACCATCAATCAAATTGCGCCAACGACGATCAGCGAAGGTTGAGAACGAGAACTCTGATTAACCATCTGACGCATCCAGTTGAGAATATATGATAAGAATTGTATAATTTAAGGCAACATACCCAGTTGCAACCTGTACAAAGATATTTGTAGTATAAGCACATTGTGTCACATTCATCATAACGCATAAATGCATATTTTATTATAGAGTTCGCCCCAAACACTAATCGCGGCAAATATGTATATATGATATATGTATATATATGCTTATATGTATATATATGCGTATATGTATTTATATTTTTAGAGCAAAATAGCAATACGAGTGTTGTTTGTTACTAACTTTGCAAAAATATTTATCATGATTTCGTAGCGACAACATAAGCATTATTTCACTTTCAGTTTAGCGTATATAATCTTCAAGATTTTTATTTAAGCAAACGATAAATTAAGCACATTAATCAATGTTGCTTGCATTATTACTTAAATAAATATTATGTTAACAGTAATTAAGTATGGATTTTAACTACCTACATCTGTGTAAAATTTTAGATTAGTTTGCATGTTGCTCATTACATATATGTACATATATAATATACATATAGTGCACATAGATAATTAACTGTCAAAACTTAAGTTTTAGACAATTATTTTTTGCAACTCCCGTGTAATTGTTAAACCAACGGATTAAATCGGATATAAGTCCACACATATAAATACATACTAGTCTATTGATTTATTTTTGCTCAATAAGAAGAATGTACACCTAGATGTAGATGATTATTATTTTTATTAACATTATTTTTGAAACCCAAAAAAACCCGCGCAGACATTCGCTTGATTGATTTGAAATTTGCGCGGGCGACTATCACAGCTGCATATCGATATATGCTATTAATTTATCGGTCCATTTTGAACAGTACGATTTCCAATTGGCATATCAATGGAATTTAAGTTCCGCACAGCTTCATTTGAAAAAACTTGTGATGTATTATTAGCGTAATTTAAGTTAATGCGCATTAACTAATTCAAATAATTGAAAAACAGGTAAGATTGAATATAATATTTGTGGATACATTTAGTACTTCGGCTCTGATTAGATTTCATACCAAGACGGTATGAAATATTCAAAAGATCGTTATTCGTTTGTTTAAAATATCTGCATACAATATTTATATTTTGTACCGAACTGGAAGCTATATCATATTCTGATCTGATAGGGCCAACTCCAAATTGTATACTGCCGACAGCAATAATATGTCCCAAGAATCGGATTCCGTGGAACTTGTTCACAATGAATCGATTCAGTTCGCAAGCAACTCTCTTGTTCGAGATTCTCTAACAATATTTTGCGAGTGGAAAAAAAAAAACAAGTGAAAAGCCAATGCGGCATGTCAACTACTTACCTGTGAAGCAAGCTAATTCGATAAAAATCACAAACAGAAGACAACTTACGCGTTAATATACAGACAATTAAATCTTATACGAATGGCCGCCGCAGCGGATGCTGCAAAATCCAACGCGTTGCTCGCTATGAACAAAGTGAACAACACAAAATGCCGCGCGTGCCTCTCCGTAAGTCGTCAGACCGTCAAACTGGATGCCAAAATACCGGATCTAAAGAACGCGCGTACCTACGGACAAGGCTTACGCCAGTGCACCAATATGCCCCTAACGGCACGCTCCCCCGGCGGTTACAGGTGGCCCATGCAAATTTGTGTACGCTGTTGTCGCGCCCTCGAGGTAGCCATGCATTTTGTGGAGCTGGCGCTCGAATCCAATCGTAAGCTATTCGCCGAGTCGCAAAGCCCCAAGTTAATGACGCCGGCACAATCGACAACGTCAGCGGGCGAACTGAAACGCAAGGCCAGCAGCGAGCTGTTGCATTGGAATCAATTTAGTCAACAGTTTGAGCAATTTGTGGAGAGCTACGATGGTGTGCCGGGGCCCATCGAGGAGAACGTGCTGTATATGCGCGGCGCAAAAGTGCCACGGCTAGATACAGACATTGCGCTCAACAATGAGCCGCCCAAGGAGGACGATGGTAAGCAGTTGATTAAAACGCATTAAAAACAATCTAATACGTGCACATTGCAGTTATCTTGTTTGATGTGAAGTATGATAGCAATGATCAGGATGAGGAGGATGAGAATGATGGCTCTGATGCGAAGAACAGTGAAACTTTCTATGACAATAGTATTAATATGAATGACAGCAATATCGCCGACAAAAGCAGCGAGAACAATAACAATTATAATTTTAATAACAAAAATGGTGATATTTCCGGTTTGCCGAATGTTGAGTCCGATCTCATACAACGGGCGCTCTTCATGACCCTCAACGATGATGGCAACGGCAGCCAAACGGCCGAAGAATTGCAATCCATTGAGTCCATCAAAGCCACATTATTAAAGTGTAAGCATTGATGATATATATCTTGAAACAATTAATTTAATAATTTTTTATTTGAAGCTACCGAAGGGCTGACTGGCTCGAGTGCCAGCACGCCTAAGACAACACCCAGCAAGGACGTCAATGTCAATATACCGATACTTAGCTGCAGTATCTGCAAGCACACGCACACGGAGGCCAAACAAATGCGCAGTCATTATATGCGCGTGCACAATTGTGATGTGCCCGAGGATGATATAATTGGCCTGACCAAAAGTGGGTGAACCATATATATCAAATTTTAAAAGATAGCCTTAACTATAAAACTTCGTGTTTAAATTAACTTAACATTTGTATAATCTTAGATCAAAGCTTCAAATGTCGTCCCTGTAATGGCTATGTGACAAATAGCCGTACAGATATGCAGCAGCATCTTATAGAGCATCATAAAATTGATGGCGATTTTGGTAATTATGTGCTTATACATGCTATAAATCGAACTTTGACGCTTAATCTTATATTTTGCAGAAATGTATTGCTATGTGCAGCAGAATTGTCCCGCCTGCGGACGCATTTTCAAGGATCAGCGCTCGGCGCGCACCCACTACACACGCATGCACACGCCACAACAGCCGCAACAACTGCAGCCGGGCGGAAGCGGCAGCGTCTGCGGCGGCGCTGAAATTACCGAACAGCAGTTTGTGTGCACCGCCTGTGACAAGGTGTTCAACATGAAGGGCAGTCTGCAGGCTCATCAGCGCTTCTGCCAGGTGAAGCAGCCGGTGCACTGCAACTTTTGTGAGCTGCAGTTTAGTAGCATGCGCAAATACGAGCTGCATTTGCAGCAACAGCATGCGGTTGATACGCTCCACGAGTGCGAAATATGCATGAAAAGCTTTAAGAATAGCGAATCGTTGTCGGTGCATCGCAAGCGGCACTCGGAGCGGCATTATCAATGCGCTAAATGCTCGCTTAACTACATCAATGCGGCAGAGCTGCGTGTACACTATGAACGCGCCCATGTCCATGAGGAGGAGGTGGTCAGTTGTCGCATCTGCGGCAGTAAATTTCAAAACTATGCCTTGCTGCGCGAACACGAGCAGCGTAATCATCAAAAGTCAAAGATCTGGCGTTGCGACAATTGCAATTTTGAAACCAATTCGCGAGCACGTCTGCGCCAGCATCAATACGAGCACACGGACTATCCATACAAGTGCAAGCACTGCCCAGAGGAGTTTGCCGATCGCGGCAAGTGAGTGTTTATGATAAGAAAACTTAAAAGCTATGTAGAACATTTGAAACTTTTGTTCTAGGATGCGCCAACATTCCAAGAAGATGCACGCGGTGGAGTTGACCGATGAGCAGCTGGCCGAAATGTTTAGGGAACGCATTGGTTATACCAATCGCCATGATGCATTCAGCAAGACTAACAATTCGCTGGAGATACCGGGCTTCAGTGATGAATGCTTTACAGAGCTGAAAAGCCTGGGCATGGACTATGATGATATTACAACCGATCTCTTTTCGAATTCCATTAGCAGCACACTGGACAATCTTCTTGAATTGGTACCATAAGCATGAATAGCCACTCCAATGCATACATTTACCTGCATAGAATTTAAGTATCATGATGAATAGCTAACGAGAGCTTGAAGACTGTTCGCACTTATCAATCAATTAATCCATGTATCGAATCAATCAACAGCCGATATCACACAGAGTTTTTCACAGTTTGAATTGATTTTAAATTGTTTTTCGTTTCTCGACACACACACACCAAACAAAACCACCAAGTCTATATGCCCATGTATGTAGAGTATATATACAATAGTTCGATTGTATACTTAATACAATGCTGGATACATTTTTTGAAGTAAACACAATAAACAGCCGAAACACCAGCGCTTTGAAAGCGCGCCCAAATTTTTTGAGTGTATATAGTTTATCATTTTGGTATTCGTGCCAAACATTTTGTTTTCTGTATTTAAACTATTCAAATTTGTTAAGCATTTGCAAAGTGCTCGAAAATCTGTTTAAAGCTAATTAATGCCCTGAACGAATTTTGAGAGGAAATCTGTGGGTTTGGGCTCCTGTGATTCCTTCCAATAGCGCATTATGTGACCCTTTTGCTTCCAGATCTCAACGGACTCTTTCAGCTCCATTTGCCCCTGGAAATCATTTAAAAGGCCCAATAGTTAAGTCCAGCAAGGATCAGCAAACCCAGACTTACCTTGATGACCAGCATGTCTATGACGCGGATGTCGGTCACTTGACGATTCTTGAGGAACTCTTCGCGTAATTTAGCCCGGCACTGGGCTACGCTCATGGGTATATCGTAATCCATAACTGTGGGTATGTATATCAATTTGTTTATGTTTGGCGCCGGATCAGAGGGTTTGATGACATAACAAACGGACTTACCAATATAGGGAATTTGACGATACCAGGCCTTGTACAGGTTTAGCGCACGTTTGCGCGCCTCTTCCCTGTCCACGGACAATATGGGACGCACCTGTTGTACTGCACGTTTGACGGCTTCACGTCCAGCCATGTTCTTGTGTCGTATTTGTGATTTTCTAGCTAAATAACGTCGTTGCAAAATGCTGCTGCTTCTTCAACGGCAGGCAGCTGAGCGAGGTGCTAATTTCGATTAAAACCGATAGGTCCAAATATTGACAAGGAAAAAAAGTGTTGAAAAATTACCTTTAATTGTTATCGATAAGCACATGTGCTAGTTGCGCGCGTAAATTTGAAGTTTTCTATTGTGCGCAGGCAGCGTAGCATATGTTAGATTTTAGTCATGCTTAGCCGCATTGTTTATTCCGTCTATTGTGGGAATGTAAAGGACTGTCATTGTAAGCCCCGGGCCATGCGCAAAAAGTTGCACATTGTCATTGTAACAATAATAGAGACAGCTGAGGCAAAAAATTACACTTTCATTCATTAAAGCTGGCTATTGTTGCTCTTGTTGCTGTTGTTTTTGCTGTTTTTGTTGTTCAAGCTGTTGTCGGTGTGCGCGCGCTGTTGACCGATCGACTCAGACTTTGCGCTCAGTTCAAAACACGTTATGCGCCTGTGCAGAGCGTTTTGCGCTTTAACAACTTTAAGAGTCAGCCGTGTATTTCGAAAGTTACTGTGTCCAGCCAACAAACGCGTGTGATTTGCAGTAACAACTACGCAGACAATTTTTTGTATTAGACGCTTTTTGGATGTTTGAAAAACATTTGTAATTTATTATGCAAATGCAGTAAGCGAGCTATAAAAATTTTTGGTAGGTCAACAATTTCTATTTTAATTGGCAGCGCCCAACAATTTACCATATGAGAAAAGAAAGCTGCAAAAAAGATATTGGACAACATATGTATCCCACACATAACATATATATGAACGAACTGTATTTATTGTGCATAATTAAGCCAATCAAAAAAGTTTTGTGCTGTCGGCTTTTCCACAGAGATAGAATTTCAAAGAATTGCGCGTGTTTATGTGTTTTTGATTCTTGCCATTAATTGACATAATTTCTGCTGGCAAAGTGGCGCTATGTTGACCAATATAAATTCCAGTTATGATAAATATTGCTAAAATGCTTGTTGCGTTCTTGTTCAGCGCGTGCCTCTCCTTTTTTTTCTGCACTTTGTACGCAAATTAGTTTTGGACGTTAATTGCAATTCTCTTTGTCAAGGTTGTAGAGTGCGATGCCGGCTTAAGTGCACGTTCGCTTGTGCCGTCCCATCCGTCCGATCCGTTCCAAGTCGATCCGTTTCGGCGCCTCTTACTCTCTGTTTTCCCTCCGCGTTTGTATGTCAATTAGTGTTATTCAACCGGGCAAATATATATATATATATATATATATATATATATATATGATTAAGAAGTCAAAAACAATAGAGACTTTGCATGCACACTCGAATTCCAGTTGTAACGATGTGCAAATATTGAAGTAACAGCACAAAAGTTAACTGCCACTTATTAACACATTGATTGCCATTACATACAAAACTGGCTTGAGTTCTGGGCGAAAACAGAAAATAATAGCAATGAAAACGGGTCGAAAGGCTTACACATACCAGTTTACCTCGACGAGCGCTTTATAAGATACGAGTACCGTTTATCGTCGACATAGAGTGGGCCACGCCTTCACCTCCTCTGGCCAAGTGGCAAGTCTAACGGCTTTTGATTTGAACCCACCCAGCGCCTTGGCCACAATTTCATGGCCAACGCTTTTAAGTATGTTTTTGTTAATTTATTATTATTTATATTGGCAGCGGAAGCCGACGCCCGCATTAGGGCAACAAAATCGTCGCGTCGTGTAAAAGCCAAACACACTCTTGTCGGGGCCCATATATCGTTGAAACAATCAAAGAACCTAACACGACACGCAGAAACCTAAATTGCTGCTGCCAAAAACTTATCAAATCGATACGAGAAGCGCCTGTTAACAGTTTTGTTGGCGTGCACCAAATGCTGGCATGTTTATGCGGGCAATCAAACGTGATGGAACTGCTATTTCACTAAAACAAAAACAAAAAAAAAAAAACAAAATACCGGATTAGCAACGTTCCTAGCGTGTTTTGCAAATCGGGGAATTCCGTGCGGAAACATTTTATTTCTTTTGCGTCAGATCCCTGCTCGGGCGCCACTGTTAAATATTTTCGTATGCCAGGCGATTGCACTGTTATAATGCTTTTACATTTAACTCTATTTTTTCATTACCCCTGCAATTGTAATCTTTAAGCTGCAGTGTTTTCCTTTTATTAGTATATTTAATAACATTTAATAATAAACTTTTCGGCTGATGTTGCATGTTTTGGTTAAGAGCCCTGCTCGGGCGCCTCTGTTAATTTCGAACTAGCATTCTTTTCGTATGTTAGGCGATTGCGCTGTTAAAAAGCTTTTACATTTAATCATTATTGTTCAATTACTTTAGCAAATGAAATATTTAAGATGCAGTCTTTTTGTTTTATTAGGGCATTTCATTCGAAAATAGTCGAATAAACTTGTTTGAGTAGCCTTTGGCTGATCATTGATTTTTGATTGATTTTGAATTCTGATATAAGGAAATTTCGTTTGTTAAAGATTGTTAACGTTTTTGGTTTTGTTTTTTTGGCCAAGATCCCTTTCGTGCCCGCAACTTTTTGGTATTTGCTTTTTGATCAAAGGGGATTCCATTCGTTAATAGCTGCTTACACATCAAATTTCGAGTTAAATTTGTTTTGTGTGTTGATATTTGAGTTTTTATTATAATTATTTCGTGCCCAATAAAGAAATTCCATCTACTTAATATCTATTCACATTTCGAATTTTTTGCTCAGTTATTTTCCATAGTTAACATTTTTGTTTCGGAAATCTATTTGTATATTAATTTTTTTTATTTGCTTCCCGTTTAAGAATTTGATTTAAAAACCTCTTAAGTTAATAAAGACGGAATCAAATGTCTTAATGACTATTATTATTATTATAACCATTTGATATAGCATAGCTTACAGCATTTCTTTTTTGTTGTTGTTGTTGTTTTTTTGTTTTTTTTTTTTGGCTATTGTTTGATAAGCAACGCATACTTGTAATTATAATTGTTTATTTACAATAGTCTTCAAATATTTACAAGTACAAACTTTGATAACACTTTGGAAAATCTATATAAACATGAGCAGTAATTGCAGCTTATGAATACCATTGAAACCTGCAATCTCTGACCCATATTACGCTACACATACGATTATAGCAGCAGTCGGCTAATGCAAAAAGCTTATTGAATCGAGTGTATTAGCTATGAGTCAGTTGGCAAACAGGTTGTATAATAAGACAAAAGTTATGAACAAATAGCGAAGTACAGTAAAACGCACTTTAAACGGTTTGCGTACGTGATCAGCTGATCACGTGCTGGGCGCACGTGTAAACCAGTTCACTTTCAGCCAGGTTTATTTGCACAAACCATTTAAGTCAGTTCTTTGATATTTGTTTGCATTTATTTTCATTTATTTTTTTTTTTTTTATTGGTGGGCGCCTTGGCAAACAACAAGTGTCGGAAATGCCGTTCATTTTTGGGGAGCACAAAAAAAAAATAGAAGAAGCAAAATTATGCATAATTTGTGCAACAATTAAAAGCCAACACAATACTTAGCAGAAGTCGGTTTTTGGGGGGAAAATGTTTTGGTTACCAGACTGCGTTTACCTTTCACGCTGGTCGCGCCTGTAGGGCATTTGTTTAGTTATTAAGAGCGTCAACTTTACACATTCGCTGCTCAGGTATTTTATTTTCTATTATTTTTTTTTTCATTCGTTTTCATACATATTTATTTTGCGCCAGCTATGCGCACGAGCACTTTGCGCGATAACCGACAACAACCACAGCGACAACAACGTCAACAACAACGACGACAACGTCGACGTCGACAGCCTGACGACTTCAGAGGTGCTCGTCAGTGTTGAAGTTGTTTCAGGTTCAGTTTCAGTTACGTTTTGGCGTTTTACGGTAACGCAGCGGACAACGACAACAATAATACTAAAAACGAAAACAACAACAACGTCAACGCAGACAACAACAACAACAACAACAACAGCAACAACAATTGAGGTGCGTGTTGGTATCTGTTAGCTACCCAAATATAATAATAATAATAACAATTCTGCAAACGTGTAAATCATATCTGAGCGCATTCTATGCGATTACAATTGCGCATACGCCGCGTTGGCTGCTACGAAAAATATTAAAAAAAATATATAAATAAAAAGAACCTATAATATAACAATAAAAAAGTTCAATAAAAAATTAATGCCATAAGAAATTGTACAAAAAAAAAGCCGCTTAGCTTTTGTGCGTGACTTAGCGTCTTGACTGTCCGTTAAATTGTGGAAGTGCGGCCAATTGTCGCTCCAAAATCAAGACTTACACGTTCTACAAAAATCGCCTCTATATATATATATATAGAAATATTTATATATATATTTAAAATGCACACACGCTATCATGACGCTTAGCTGCCTTTAATCGGCAAATGGTTTTCACTTTTGTCTTGCAACTCGATTGCATGCAAAACTTTGTCTTCAAAAATAATAATAATAATATAAAAATTTAAACCAAACCAAGCATTTACCGCTATGCAATGCGGCTGGTACCTTGAACCCAGCTTATTGTTTTTATTTTATATATTTTATGCTCTTGGTTTTAATGCATAAAGTTTTCACTTTCTTGCAAGTCGAGGCCGTTAATCATATGATTAGATAATAGAGCATTACAGAGCGCACAAGTTCTTGAGTTTGCGCGTTTTTGGATTATGCTGTTTATCAGTTGTTGTTTGTGTTATTGCCAAAAAAAAAAAAAAAACGTTCTTGGTACTCTTTATGGCTCTTGATAAGATTAGCGGCTGCCTGGCGCTATAATTTTAATATTTATAACTATATGTATATAGAACAAAGGAAACACATTTTAAAAAAGCAAAGATTGTCAATAATGTTTCGATTTCTAGCAAAGGTTCGAACCTGGTTTGAACCAGCTGCTGGTTCGAATTGCCAAAACAACTATGGTTGAGCTGCATATTTGAGTATTTATAAAGCGACGCTTTTTGTGTAGACAACAACAAGAAAAGTACGCAATTCCCAGCTAAGCGAGACAAGATGAGTTTGCCGGCGCACTCGCATCATAATAACCAGCCCAATGCAATTGTTGTGGCAATAAAGCAGTTCGAGACGAGTTCACACAGCCAGACAGCGTTGGCAACACACCTTTCGGCCAAAAAGGGGGCCAAGTAACCAATTTGATTTACCAATGATAGACGCACAGAACTCACGCAACAACAAAATAGAAAAGATGGAAAGATATAAGCCAAAAAGTTGAACTAATGTGAACGGGCTGCGCTTTTTGGGCTTTTTGGGTTCTGTGGCCAAAAACTGGGACTGGGTCTGGGACTGGGTCTGGGACTGGGCCTGGTCTTTTATAGCAGGCTTTTTGTGTTTGTCTGTGTGTTTTTTGTTTTTTTTTTTTATTATTATCGCGCCGCGTTTGTCACACCAGCAATTCACACCTCAAATTTTTGCTCTACACCAGAAGTTTTGGCTAAAAACAAACTTTTATTTTGGCTCATAAATAACTAAGAGCTTTTCAAGTTGGCAAACAGAGAGGGAGTGAGAGAGAGCTATCAGAGAGCTTATCAAATGCTATACGGAAAGTTGACAATCTATAAATTAAAGTTTTATTTTTGCATATGATATGCAACGTTTTTAGCCATAAATCGGGCTACAATGCAAATACTTTCGCTTTCTTCGGTGCTGAGCCAAGGTCTTAGTTTAAAAGCCGGTTTTCGTTTCGACTGAAGCGCGGAAACTTTGGAGATAAATCATATGGAGAGTACAATATTTTATACTTATGCATAAATTTTGCCAATTAATCAATGACTATTTATAAATTGTGGAAATGCTCAGGTATTCTGAGCGCTTGTTTAAGTGCAATTTGTTGTATTCAGCAAGAAATATTCATATTGAAGTCCCATTCTCGCTCACCTTATGCAAATTATAGCTAAAATGGTTGGAAGTAAAAGTTAATGTACCTGCTCTAGACGGGCATGTACGACTAGAAAAACAATTTGTATTTATAATTCAAATATAATATATAGCTGATGTCTGTTTGAATGATTTGAAGTTGTTTGATATATTACTCGTTATTCAATTTTATAACATTTGATAAAGCATGGCCTCTACAGACCACAATTTATAATTGTTTAATATGCGATAATATGCTATGATGATAATACATTTTAACCGAAAGACCAAGTTCTATCATTCAAAATAGAGTTGTATGGTTTGTTTGACTTGGTTGCACATATAGGCAAATATTTCAAGGCTGTGGAAATTGTATTTTTTGAGAGAAATGGACACATAGAAGAAGCTGCGTGAAGGGCATGTTCAGCCTAGTCTTTGGGCAAGTTTTCAGATACACGCCTATATATCCAGCTCTTATACTCATTCAAGTACTCAAAGATATACTATATGTATATACTGTGTTTGTACAAGCTATTGGAAGCACGCCTATATACCCGCTTCTAATACCCATTTTATTTTTATGGGGTATACAAAAATATACTTGACTCTCAGCTTATAGCACACAAAACGTTAAATTCAAGGCCAATTCGCATTTTCAAGTGCAGCTTCTACCCGCTGGCAATAAACAGATCATGTGCGTTATTTCGACTAAAGCATTTGTAGGTAAATTAGAAAAAATAACAACACCAGAAGAAAAAAAAATGTGCAAAACAGCTTAAATTATTTGCCACAAACAGCTGTGGCTGAATTTAGCTGCATATTTGTATTTAATTAGCGGGACGCCAACCACCGAGCACCCACCCACCCAACCACTCAGTCGTAAAAACTTCTAGCCAAATTGTGCTTCACGGCGGCAAAGTACAAACAATTGAGATTTCAGCACAGTCTATTTGGGCACTGTAATTGGCATTTTTTATGGCTTATTTATTTTTTGTTTTTATCAATTTATAAACATTTATATATAGCCGCACATTATTTAGTTGTTTGTCATGGGTTTTGCGTTGGGAAGGTTGACAGACAAATGAGAACTGGTTGTTCGGCACGTTCGGCAGCTAAATGAACTGAATAATTAAGTCACTGTGTCAACTCAATGAGAGTGAGAGCTCTGATATGCTTAAGCTCCTGCCCAGCAGTCAATTGAGTACAGTGAATATTGACTATATTTGATTATAGCACGTGCAACTGCTAAATTGCTCTGTTCGATTTCATAATGCAATTGGTTCAGCTGTTTTCTTTTGTTGGGCTACAAAAATAGTTTCGAGTAAATACTTTCAGCACATAGTATTTGCCAAGCACACAGTAAGTTCTAGAAAGTACACAAATTGTTAAGAGCTTTGCCAGTTATTTTAATTAATGTTTGCGCCCAGTTGATTTTTAATTGTTCCCAGAATGAGCAAACAGTAATTAACAGTTCGTATTCGGCAAAATGCACTTTAATTATTTAGCAATTTAATAACTGATCATTAAAAAAAATATTGTTTGTTTCTCGACGATTAATTCTAAAGGCGATATGCCCAAACGACAATCTTTGTGCGAATCTGACGTCACATGAAACTGCGTGGCTTGGCTGTCTGAGCGTTGAACTAAGAAGCGCGAAGTTACCGGCTCAAATTCAATTGTGTTTTTAATATTTTAAATATATATATTTTTTTTCTTTTTATTTCTGCTAGCAAAAAATGATGTAGATAGTTTTTGTTGAAAGTGTACATCATATAAAATCAATATATATTTGCTGTCTTCTTTTTATAGATTATCTCTAACTTATTACATTTTATAAGTGTCTTTATACACGCACAATAAAATTACTTTTTTTTTTTTTAATGAAATTCCGATAATTTCCTTCCATAAACCTTATTTGTACTCCACAAAACTTTTTATCTTGGGCCAAACATATAATTTTATTATACCCTTGTAGAGGGTATTAAAATGTTGTCATGAAATGTGACGAGACGAGTTGTTAATATTATATGGTCAGAAATGTATAAGATAATTGAAAACTGTATTGAAATTATATGTTATTTTAATGTTATACGCTTTAATTGAAGCTAATATAAAACGTGATTTGTTTACCCAAGAAAACAAGAAAAACAAAAATTGCTAAAACGTAGCTAATATTTCTTTTTTCAAGTAGAATTTACTTCGCAAGCCCTTAGATTAGACCAAGCATCAAGACCAACTTCATTTGCTCTTGGACTTTATTTATCTAATTTAGATGCGTCGCAATTGCCAGACTTTACGCCAGACGCAATAAAACAAATAAACGAACGAACATTAAAAACAAGTTCAATTACAACTGAACAATAAAATTGAAAATAAAATCAAATAAACTGTGAGGCTGACCTTTGGCTAAGTAATTGAATGCGCATAGAATTTATGAGTAGCTGCAATGCAGGTCCATAAATTGCAGCGCTTAATTAAATTAGTGCCCGACAGGGGCCAGGGGTAGAAGTGCCTGGCAATGGAAGTGGCCGCGTATCAGTTCTGATCGGGTACGTGTGTGCGCTGGGCATATTGATAAGGCTGGAACGGAGCTCTGGTCACTTGCCAGTCGACCAGCTAGTTGGTCACATGTACTTCTGATCGATCTGTGTCGCGGGCTGCTCGGCTGCCAATTAGCCGAAAAATTGCGGCCTTTTGACGCCGGGAATTTCCGATAAACACAGCTAATTGTTATTTAAGCAGTCCATAGCTCAATAAACAATCGATGGCATTTGTATTTTTTGTTTTTGGGCTTGACAATGACCACTTGATGACCCTGGCCGTGCATTGTCCGCTCGCGTTACGTAATTACGCATACGCCGTGTGAAATGGTAGCAAAAACAAAAGCAAAAAAAAATCAAACTACAAATAGTCAGCGAAAGTAAATACTGAATGCAAAAGTTTGCATTGATGAGATTTTGCTGCGGCAGGCATGGACATGTGATTGATAGCACGCGGCTGAATGCCAGGTGGAGTCTAGATAAAGGTACAAATTGTGGTAAATGTGTCGCTATTATATAACCTTGCTGATAAGCGCAAAGAACAGCCCAAGCCCATGAAGTGGAACGCCCGATCATCTATAATGATATGTCATCGAAGCACTTCCAACAACTAATAGACGACGGAATATTTATAAAATACAAGAGTCTAGTCAGAATTATCAATAAACGAAACCGATCATGGAATATTTGGCTGAACCACATTTAACCAGTTCAGGAATAGGCACTAAATTCGATTTATTTTATAATTATTGTTATAAGTGAAGATAGTTGAAAACTTGAGAAGCGTTTCCGGATCCACTCGGCGTCCATTGAAATGAAGGCTTCTGTATATAGGTAACAAATATAAATATATATGTGTAGATAATAAAATAGGCATATAAATAGGTATCATATAATAACATATAGCATATATATAGGTTATATATATTTTTCATCTGTATCCACAGCTTGGGTCTTCGGCAAACTCTTGTTGGTAAATTCCTAGTGGTTCGGTTCTCTTGTTGTTAATTTCCTGTTGGTTCGGTTCACATTGGAACATCGGAACATTGGGTTCTTATATGTTTTGAACTTGTTTATGAAGCAACTAAATTTGTCTATACCCTGAACCCATTAAAAGGTGGTAAAAGGGGTATAATGTATTATGCAAATTTATGTAATTGGAAGAAGGAAGCATCTTCGATCCCATTAAATATATATATTCTTGATCAGCATTAATAGTTGTCTCGATCTATTCTAGTTCTAGTCGATCATTTCGAGTTCCAATAATTGATAACTTTCCCCGTTTCCAAGCAATGTATAGAAATCTATCAGCAAATTCTGTTGTTGAGCAAATCTCACCAAATTTAACAAATCAAGTGTCTTTCATTTTATAGATATCGCCACCTAGAGGGTTTAGGGTAGGTAGCCCTTAGTCGAGATCTTCTGACTGCCGCGCCTTTTACTTGTTATAGTTGATTAACTTCCCATTCTAATGAAAATATGCTACTAAAATTATTTGCATATTTTTCGCTAATAATCAAGAAGCCTACACAAATATATTTAGCAAATTATTCAAAAACTTTCTATAAGTCGAAATCTTGTTAAAAGATATTTTGAACCGTTCCTAAGACTTGCAAAGGATTTTATGACTTTATAGACAGAACCTAGAGTACCTTCCACATTTTATAACAAAACAATGATAAGAGAACAACTTTATATATATTTCTTTCTAAATGTACAACAACTTGACGGTGCTTATCAGCTAAGTTTCTGGGTTGAAGTGTTCCTAAGCAGTTTCCATACGGCCAAGTGTGGACTTTGGTCGCATTTAACAATTTTAAAGAGTTTAAAAAATAAGTTATGAACTAGCCACTGCTATGGGAAACTTTAATTGGCTTATTTATGACTTAATAAATGCCTGGGATTATAAATATATTGAGAATTTATCAAGTGGCGACTGCCGCGCGTCCAGCGTCACATTTAATTAGATAATAAAATAAATAAGCAATTGTTTTAAACGGAAAATCAGCCCATAAGCAAATGATGAGTAATTGATTCTGTTTTCGGGGCACTTGAAATACAGCTAATCACATTTTGTTCTCAAGCAAAATTTGCCCAGCCCGATAATAAATAAGCTTAAAACGCGACTGAACGGCCATAAAAGTGAATAGTTTATAGAAAGCAGTCGGAGCATTCTTAAGGTGCTGTCCCAAAATCAAAGAAATTTAAATCAAATTTAAATAAACAAATTTAAATTAAAGGCAATAATTATTTGCCACATTTTGTGGCAAATTTGATGTCAAAGCCAACATTTATTTATGCATATAACCAAAATTTATGTGCTTTTCACCACAAATTGAGCATGATTATGAACAAATTTAAATTTGCATTTGACTAATTTTTTGTGATTTTTTTCATCTCTAAATTCATTTATTTATTTTTTTTTTTGGTAACATCTTTTACAGCTTAACACAGGCAAAGCACCGTTAGCAGACGGAAAGTAAAAGCGCGTATCAGATCCACACGAGACCCGCGTCGAGTCACACTCTCTCACACACACACATTAGCAGCACACACACACATACACAGTTGCAACATGGCCGATACCATCAACAAGCCGAGCATACAAATTCGCAACGGCCTGCCGTCGCCCCTCAGCGACAAGAGCCCCTCGCCGGCCACCAAACTGCTGATCAGCCATGGCAAGCCCAACTTTACCATAGCGCGTTCGCCCAAAGTGGAAGACAATGGTAATCCGCTGTCGCCGCAACCGAATGCCAACAACAACTACAATCCCTACAAGTGCGCCAACAACAACAGCAGCAACAGCAGCAACAGCAACAAATTTGTGGTCGGCACCAAGTTCAATGGCGTCTTTAAGCCATCCACTGCAGCCGCCAGCTGGGCGACCAACAGCAATGGCAATGGCAACGGCAGCTCTGAGCAGAATGAAGCCGCCAAGGTGGTGCTGCGTCGGCCCAAGCTAGCGGAAGCTGTGGAAGCGCCCGCAGCTACCGAGGACGAGAATGTGCCGGAGTTCATACGCCGGCAGCGACGCATTCAGGAGCGTCTGGCCAAGGAGAATGTGCTGGACTTTGAGAATCGTCGCAGTGGTTACTTTACCCATGTTATGATCTCGCCGGACTCGCCGAATCGCACCTCCTTCGTGGAGACCATGGCCAGTCCGGCCATAGTGCCAGCTCTGGAAATGCCGCTGCCGGCCAAGATTGAGGAGGAGCAGACGCAGCAGCAGCAGCAGCAACAGTATCAGGAGCAGGAGCAGGAACAACCAGTGGTGCTGTCAGCGCCAGTTGCGAATGGACACAGCGAGCAGTTGGAGACGCAGGCGGAGCCACCTGCACTATTGACCAACGGTCACAACGTGGAGCAGTTGGAGGTGCAGCCGCTTAGCAATGGCCATGCGCACGATGAGGATGTGGCGCCCGAGGAGGTGGCCAAGGCCATTGAGGAGGTCAACAAAGCGGTGGCCGGCGAGGATGATGACAGCAAAACGGAAGTGGAGCAAGTGGCCAAGGCTGAGGTCGAAGTCGCTGTTGCCGCAGCTGCCGCTGCCATTGAGAGTGCACCCGCTGCCGTTGAGGCGCAGGTGGAGGTGATTACGCCGGCGCCCGCCGTGAGCGCACAGAATGGAGACGCCGCCGCCGTCGCCGCCACCAATGGCCACGATGAGGCTATTACCATATCCCATACCAATGGCCATGCCAGCGATGTGCCCAGCCTAGCCACGCCCGATCCCAGCGGTGCGCTCGGCGTCAACTATGAGCCCAAGACGGTGGTTAGCTTTGCCCAGGAGCTGGGCAGCGGTGAGAATAACTATCCCGACACGGTCAAGGTGACCAAGGAGACAGCTGCCTCGTCTGCCGATGCACAGCTGCAGGAGTTGACTAAACTGAAGTTTGATATACAAAACGATGCACAGAACGAGGTTCATGTTACGCCCGTGCTGCGTGCAGACTAGGCGCCAGCAGCTGACCCCTCTCCCCCAGTACCACCAATCCCCCGTGGTGCGAGTGAAGGGTTATCGTTTTTAGTGCAATTTGTTATTAATCAAAAAAAAAAAAAAAATATTGAACTATCTATTGTGTATTTTGTGTTAGCCAATAAGTTCATTATGAGAAATGTTGCCAAATTTAATTTTATGCTTTGCGCATCAGTCAGTATCCGTGTAACATACACACACGCACGCACACGCACGCACACACACAAACACACACACATACACATACACTAAGCGCCAATTGTTGAGGCGGTCGCCATGCTAGGGTTTAGCCATCGCGCGATTCCCCCCTTAAGCCAGGCCACCAGCTACACTTAACTATGTTTACTTCAAACAATTTGCTTTAAATAAATTATTATTATAAAACCAGTTGTTCATATTATTAATTAGCTGGAAAAAATAGGTTGTCATAAATGAGCCACTTGTTTGCTTTACTTAATAGTGGGTATTTTTTGTAATCCTACCAAACGTTTAGCGTTTACAATATTGGGCATTTTGAAAAAATAATTGCAATTTGTTTGGTCTTCTTATTTAAATGTCAAAAATATTTGCAATTTATTAAATTATTTAATTTAAACTTTTGAAAATATTTACAATTTTTAATTTAATTCATTTAATTCAAAATTCATTTAATTCAAATTTAATTCAGGAAGCACATTTATACATATTTTTTTTATAAATTTTTGTACATAAAATTGATCAAGAAACTTTTTTTTTAGATACAAAAAAATTTGTATATCCAAAAAATAAATATATATAAAAGACAAAAAAATGATTTCTTTAGGTATAAAAATGATCACATTCAAAAAATGTTCTTGAAGAAGAAAATGTCAAAAAACAATAACGGTTTTTAATTTAAGTCTATTAGAAAATGCACATGCACAAAGCTTTAGTATGTACACTTAAGGCAATAGGAGCATACAAAAATATGTCAGGTCTGCCTAGAATTCAAAACTTTTACTTTCATGTGCATCGCAGTTGTATAAATAATATGCAATTGTTATGCACAGTTAACTTTGAAAATGGAAGGCGATTCAAACTTCAACAAATGAAGTCTTGAATTAATAAACAAGTAAGAGGTTCTAGTCGGGAGCTCCCGACTAGGGGATACCCTGAACCAAAATTGCTCAAAAACCAGGATATCGATATCGATTTTTATCGATTGCTTGGAAACGGAGTAAGTTATCGATTATCGGAAACAAACTCGATCTGCGGGAGCTAGGAGCATCTACATCTAAAATTTCAAGTCTCTAGCTCTTATAGGTTCTGAGATCCTTGCGTTCATACATACGGACGGACGGACGGACAGACAGACGGACATGGCTAGATCGACTCAGCTATTTATGCTGATCAAGAATATATATACTTTATGCGGTCGGAGTTGCTTCCTTCTGCCTGTTACATATATTTGAATTTCGCACAAATACAATATACCCTTATACCCATTTTTAATGGGTTCAGGGTATTAAAAGCCAAACTTCGTGAAAATCGGATGAGATTTGGCCGAGATATGGGGGTGGTAATTTTTGACCCAAGTCTATATACGAATCTTGGGGTAAGATTTGGACATGAATTTCGACCAAAAAATTGGTGTCGAAATTTGAATGCCAGAATAATCTAAAGGGAAAACCATAAGGAAAAAGCCAAACTTCGTGAAAATCGGATGAGATTTGGCCGAGATATGGGGGTGGTCATTTTTGACCCAAGTCTATATACGAATCTTGGGGTAAGATTTGGACATGAATTTCGACGAAAAAATCGGTGTCGAGATTTGAATGCCACATTAATCTAGAGGGAAAACCATAAAGAAAACGCCAAGCTTCGTGAAAATCGGATGAGATTTGGCCGAGATATGGGGGTGGTAATTTTTGACCCAAGTCTATATACGAATCTTGGGGTAAGATTTGGACATGAATTTCGACCAAAAAATCGGTGTCGAGATTTGAAAGCCACATTAATCTAGAGGGAAAACCATGAAGAAAAAGCCAAACTTCGTGGAAATCGGATGAAATTTCACCGAGTTATGGGGGTGGAAATTTTTGACCCATGTCTAGATACGAATCTTGGGGTAAGATTTGGACATGAATTTCGACTTAAAAATCGGTATTCAGATTTGAATGCCAGATTAATCTAGAGGGAAAACCATGAGAAAAAAGCCAAACTTCGTGAAAATCGGATGAGATTTGGCCGAGATATGGGGGTGGTCATTTTTGACCCATGTCTATATACGAATCTTGGGGTAAGATTTGGACATGAATTTCAACCAAAAAATCGGTGTCGAGATTTGAATGCCAGATTAATCTAGAGGAAAAACCATGAAGAAAAATCCAAACTTCGTGCAAATCGGATAAGATTTGGCCGAGATATGGGGGTGGTAAATTTTGACCCATGTCTATATACGAATCTTTGGGAAAGACTTGGACATGAATTTCGACTTAAAAATCGGTATTCAGATTTGAATGCCAGATTAATCTAGAGGGAAAACCATGAGAAAAAAGCCAAACTTCGTGAAAATCGGATGAGATTTGGCCGAGATATGGGGGTGGTCATTTTTGACCCATGTCTATATACGAATCTTAGGGTAAGATTTGGACATGAATTTCAACCAAAAAATCGGTGTCGAGATTTGAATGCCAGATTAATCTAGAGGAAAAACCATGAAGAAAAATCCAAACTTCGTGCAAATCGGGTAAGATTTGGCCGAGATATGGGGGTGGTAAATTTTGACCCATGTCTATATACGAATCTTTGGGTAAGATTTGGACATGAATTTCGACCAAAAAATCGGTGTCGAGATTTGAAAGCCACATTAATCTAGAGGGAAAACCATGAGAAAAAAGCCAAACTTCGTGAAAATCGGATGAGATTTGGCCGAGATATGGGGGTGGTCATTTTTGACCCATGTCTATATACGAATCTTGGGGTAAGATTTGGACATGAATTTCAACCAAAAAATCGGTGTCGAGATTTGAATGCCAGATTAATCTAGAGGGAAAACCATGAAGAAAACGCCAAACTTCGTGCAAATCGGATGAGATTTGGCCGAGATATGGGGGTGGTCATTTTTGACCCATGTCTATATACGAATCTTAGGGTAAGATTTGGACATGAATTTCAACCAAAAAATCGGTGTCGAGATTTGAATGCCAGATTAATCTAGAGGGAAAACCATGAAGAAAACGCCAAACTTCGTGCAAATCGGATGAGATTTGGCCGAGATATGGGGGTGGTAAATTTTGACCCATGTCTATATACGAATCTTTGGGTAAGATTTGGACATGAATTTCGACCAAAAAATCGGTGTCGAGATTTGAAAGCCACATTAATCTAGAGGGAAAACCATGAGAAAAAAACCAAACTTCATGAAAATCGGATGAGATTTGGCCGAGATATGGGGGTGGTCATTTTTGACCCATGTCTATATACGAATCTTAGGGTAAGATTTGGACATGAATTTCAACCAAAAAATCGGTGTCGAGATTTGAATGCCAGATTAATCTAGAGGAAAAACCATGAAGAAAAATCCAAACTTCGTGCAAATCGGATAAGATTTGGCCGAGATATGGGGGTGGTAAATTTTGACCCATGTCTATATACGAATCTTTGGGAAAGACTTGGACATGAATTTCGACTTAAAAATCGGTATTCAGATTTGAATGCCAGATTAATCTAGAGGGAAAACCATGAGAAAAAAGCCAAACTTCGTGAAAATCGGATGAGATTTGGCCGAGATATGGGGGTGGTCATTTTTGACCCATGTCTATATACGAATCTTAGGGTAAGATTTGGACATGAATTTCAACCAAAAAATCGGTGTCGAGATTTGAATGCCAGATTAATCTAGAGGGAAAACCATGAAGAAAACGCCAAACTTCGTGCAAATCGGATGAGATTTGGCCGAGATATGGGGGTGGTAAATTTTGACCCATGTCTATATACGAATCTTTGGGTAAGATTTGGACATGAATTTCGACCAAAAAATCGGTGGCGAGATTTGAAAGCCACATTAATCTAGAGGGAAAAATATAAAGAAAACGCTAAACTTCGTGCAAATCGGATGAGATTTGGCCGAGATATGGGGGTGGTCATTTTGACCCATGTCTATATACGAATCTTTGGGTAAGATTTGGACATGAATTTCGACTTAAAAATCGGTATTCAGATTTGAATGCTAGATTAATCTAGAGGGAAAACCATGAGAAAAAAGCCAAACTTCGTGAAAATCGGATGAGGTTTGGCCGAGATATGGGGGTGGTCATTTTTGACCCATGTCTATATACGAATCTTAGGGTAAGATTTGGACATGAATTTCAACCAAAAAATCGGTGTCGAGATTTGAATGCCAGATTAATCTAGAGGGAAAACCATGAAGAAAACGCCAAACTTCGTGCAAATCGGATGAGATTTGGCCAAGATATGGGGGTGGTAAATTTTGACCCATGTCTATATACGAATCTTTGGGTAAGATTTGGACTTGAATTTCAACCAAAAAATCGGTGTCGAGATTTGAATGCCAGATTAATCTAGAGGAAAAACCATGAAGAAAAATCCAAACTTCGTGCAAATCGGATAAGATTTGGCCGAGATATGGGGGTGGTAAATTTTGACCCATGTCTATATACGAATCTTTGGGAAAGACTTGGACATGAATTTCGACTTAAAAATCGGTATTCAGATTTGAATGCCAGATTAATCTAGAGGAAAAACCATAAAGAAAAATCCAAACTTCGTGCAAATCGGATAAGATTTGGCCGAGATATGGGGGTGGTAAATTTTAACCCATGTCTATATACGAATCTTTAGGAAAGACTTGGACATGAATTTCGACTTAAAAATCGGTATTCAGATTTGAATGCCAGATTAATCTTGAGGGAAAACCATGAGAAAAAAGCCAAACTTCGTGAAAATCGGATGAGATTTGGCCGAGATATGGGGGTGGTCATTTTTGACCCATGTCTATATACGAATCTTAGGGTAAGATTTGGACATGAATTTCAACCAAAAAATCGGTGTCGAGATTTGAATGCCAGATTAATCTAGAGGGAAAACCATGAAGAAAACGCCAAACTTCGTGCAAATCGGATGAGATTTGGCCGAGATATGGGGGTGGTAAATTTTGACCCATGTCTATATACGAATCTTTGGGTAAGATTTGGACATGAATTTCGACCAAAAAATCGGTGTCGAGATTTGAAAGCCACATTAATCTAGAGGGAAAACCATGAGAAAAAAACCAAACTTCATGAAAATCGGATGAGATTTGGCCGAGATATGGGGGTGGTCATTTTTGACCCATGTCTATATACGAATCTTAGGGTAAGATTTGGACATGAATTTCAACCAAAAAATCGGTGTCGAGATTTGAATGC